TTTTTTGAGAGAAAAAGAAAAATTTGGTTTTTTTTTTTTTTTTTTTTTTTTTTTTTTTTTTTTTTTTTGGGGGGGGGGGGGGCAGGTCGCATCATTCAGGTTTTTGCAAGTTACCCAATATTAATCTTAAAGAATAAAAGATACACATGTATTTGTGATAGTGGACCACAGGTTATTTCACATTTTTTCCACAATACACTGGCTTTAAAATACTTTATTAGGGTTTGTATTTCATAGACCACCATATAAGTGTATCAGATAAACAGCTCGGGGTAGTTTGTGTAAGGGTGTCACTTCTTTAAATGTAACAGTTTGTCGAAATTACACACTGAAATATCAAGTGAATATAATAGATCCTTCCTGTGCAATATTTGCTTTATAGCTATTATGATTGACTGCATATTACAAACTGCCATTTATTATGAGGATTATCAAAATTTCCTCATTGGGTTCTCAATTTTTTGTAACCAGTCATCAGAGCTTAATCTGACTCAAACTGTTGTGTAACGAGCACTGAGTCAAAGCATTTCAAACATGCAACTGACATACATGGCAAACCAACCCCACCTGTCTTTCAAGGTGGGTGTGACTCAAATATTAGAGCTTATTCAACCCTCACCACCGGACCACGCCCCTCTCTGAAACTTTATTTCATGTACTTTATGGTTCAAGTACAGTTCAATCATAGCAAAACAAGATTTCTGGTCAGCAAGCAATCGAAAGGGAAGGAGTGTGAATTTGAGACAGAAAGGTGACAACATCTACCTGAGGGCGATTTAACACATTCCACTCTGACGGTAGGATTTGCCCCTTCTGATCCTCCTCTGTTCGTTATTCCTTTGCTCTGTGCTGTTCACTTTTTCAGTTCAGCAGCTTTTACGCTCTCGTTCAGCCTCTCTTGTCCGGATACAATTTTTGCTAAAACTCATAAAGTTTAAGGTGCCCAAAAGTTTGTTTATGTGGTAATTTTTCCACTCGCTTAAGCGGACATTTCTTTGCAGTGATGTGGCTGATTGTGTCTCTGCCTGTCTTTACCTCCCATACCTAGCTGCTGGCGATGGGGGACGTTCAGAAAGGGAAGAAGGTGTTTGTCCAGAAGTGTTCCCAGTGTCACTCTGTGGAAGAAGGAGGTTGCCATAAGGTGGGGCCAAACCTCTGGGGGCTGTTTGGAAGGAAGACGGGCCAGGCGCCTGGATACTCCTACACTCAGGCCAACATGGAGAAAGGTATGAATCACCACAAAAATGCTCCGAATATTAACGTCTATTCAAGAAATGACAAATTAGCCAGGTAACTGGATAACAGAGCACAATAATTGACATTGTAAAGTAGATGTATGTGTATTCTACAGCTCTAAAGCGGATGTCATCTCTGTAGTTTAAATCTTGTGAACACAATAAATGGGATTTGAATGCATGCTAGTCCCTTATCATCAAATTCAAAATGGAGGACCATGAATAAATGGTTAGGGTTTGGAGAAATAAGCAAAGTTGGTCAACCTTTACTTGTGGCTGAGCATCGTAAAGCCATTCAAATGTAGTCAGCCTCAAGCCTCAACCTGTTTTATTTGGATTTTATAGAACAGACCAGCACAAAGAAGCTCCGACATGTGCTTTGCAAAAAAAATTTTAACAATTTCATCTCAGTATAAACTCAGCTGTCCTGTGAAGCCCTCAGAGGTTTACCAGAGAGCATTAGTGAACAAAGAGAACCATAGAAAACGAGGAATACAGCAGAAAAGTCAGTTTTAAGGATCTGACAAAACAAACTGTTTTCTGAAAATAGAAAGACACCACAAACCCGCCAACAGGTGTTGGTCCATTTAAGCGGACGGGCTGAGGGAGATATGAACCCGAGAAGCAGCCAACAGGCCCCTGGTAGCTCTGGAGGAGTTGCCGAGATTCACAACGTAGGTATGAGGATTTGCTAGGTGGTCAGCATTGTTGAAAGAAAGTCATAAGACGCCTGCATAGGACAAAACAAACACAGGAAGAAGGTCATCTGATCAGAACGTCTTAATGCCTACCTCTGTCTCACTTGTGCAACATGGCAGTGACAGTATCATGCTGTGGGGCCGCTATGATCAGCAGGGACAGTGAAGCTGGTTAAAGTTGCATGGAGCTAATTACTGGATAATAACGGAGGATAACCTGACTGAGGCTGACTTGAGACTGCGGCGATGTTTCATTCTGAACATGAAGCGAAAGCCGCAACGGAACGGTTTGACATCGACACATATTCATGTGTTACAGTGGCCAAATATCTCAGAAAAATATCAATTAGCTAACCATCATCATTTTTTAAGAAATATGAAAAATAATGCCGTATCTCAAGCGACCTAATGTGGAAAGTTGTTCATTACATCTGCATACTGTTTGCAAGTCTTCGGCAAAACATTTGTTTCAGAAGTGCAAAGGTCAAAGATAACAAATCTGATACGATGACCTCCTGACAATAATCTACCTGATGTTTCTTCTCTTTTTCAATCAATCTGAAAACGCTACTAGTAGCTTTCTCCCTCTACATAATATCCATGTTTCTCTTACTCCTCCTTAAAAGGAGCTGGTTTTCTCCATATAAAGTAGGACAGCAGGTCTGAACATGCAGCTGGCAGTACTGCTGCTCCTCTCTGACTCTCTGTGCTCTATAAACCCATTCCACTGACATTCTGAAGTCCATTAGTGCACACACACTGCATGTGTTTGATTGTTTCTGTCTTGTTTTCCCATTTAGGTATCATCTGGAACGAGGAAACTCTGAACGTCTACCTTGAAAATCCAAAGAAGTACATTCCTGGTACCAAGATGATCTTCAGTGGGATCAGAAAGAAGAAAGAAAGAGCAGATATTATTGCCTACTTAAAGGACGTGACCTCCTAATATACTGACACAAACAGTAACACACAGAGGGATTGAAAGAGCTTTAAAGAGTCAAAAATGTACCGTTTCTCTTATTTTTCTACGCCTATTCATTGTGGAATTAGCCGCTCGATGCGCACAGGAACACCTACGCTGAACTTTTATTTGTTCAATTATATTTATCTTGTTTGTTCTTGCTGAAGATGTTGATTGTTCAGTTCTGGTTTAGATTTGTATTTGGCCCCTTTTTGTTTTTGAATGGGTTGAATGGGGAAGATATTTTACTCTTGTTCTCATTTTCTCCTATTTTAAGAACAACAGCTTACAAACAAACGTTTTGATTTTCAATTTACTAGAGCAGATCTTGACAGGTTATGCGTGTACTTGTAATTCAGCAGCTGGATCAATAGTAACAAGTCGTTTAATTTTTTTAAGGGGCGTTTTACAACGTCTGAACCAATAAATAAAATTGTTTTGTGTCAGATCTCGTATTTTCCTTTTTTTGCTGTGTCTCAGACCTCAGACCAGACGAGGAGGGTAGAGGATTTTTGTTCTTTTTTTTTTTTTCCTGTTGTTGGTTTTCCTTAGCAGGAGTTTTATATTAGGTGTTCTGGTTGCTTCATGGGAAGTTAAAGCACTGTATTGAAATAATAAGGAGAAGTGGGAGAAATTCATGCAAGAAAAAATTTGATTTTGAGCAGCTGGGTGATTAAAAACCTGGACGGAGAGCATAGTGGATGAATGAAGCGAACTCTGGCGGATTCCACATGTCAGAATTTAAGAGCAAGGAGAATTTAGGTGCAGATTTGCCCTCCGAATTCTGAAAAGATAAACCACTTTTGTGTTCACATTACATGAGGGAAATTCAGTTTAATCAAACTCCTTGTTGTTGTGTGAAAGGATAATAGCACCCTCAGGTGGCTCTTTTCTAAACGACTGAAATATTCATAAGAGGAAAAGGTCAGATTCTCTCTAATATCCCAAACATGAATGAAAATATTGTTAAACCAACACCATCTAACATTCAACATTAGCATTTTCAGGTTTGCTGAAGCTCTGACCTGCCAACACGGGTTTCTCTCTTACATCATCAACATTCAGTTTGTGTTTAATAAAATGAGCTGAATGTTGTTTGTTTGCTTGTTTTTTACTGTTAAAGGCTACAGACCTTTCTTTGTGTTACTGGACATTTACATACACGTAAGTGTGAAAAGTACGTTGCAGTTTTCTCCGTCATTTTGTTGAATTTCTCAGAACAGATTTGAAATGTTCAAAACTGTACTTGTTCAGTCTTCAAATCAACGTCATCTGTGCACATCCAACACACAGCTCATCATTCATTTGAGCAGGTTGAAATGCGTTGGTCAATAATACAAATGATTATGTGCAATTACTTGCCTTTTCCTACATTGTCTTCTGTTTATGTCATCAAAATGTATAAGATGGTTTTCTGTTTAATGATCTCAACCTCTGCAATATTTAGCCATAAATTTGTAATATAGGTCTTTACATGCAAAACGCTTTAAAAAGTTGCCATAATATGTCAAGCTTCTCTTTCTTCTTAAATCTGTCCTGAGCTGCTAAATTGATCCCAGGTGAATCTTGACTTTTTGCACCGAACACAATAAATGTGTGAAGCATTAGATCAACCAACGATCAACTAGTTTTGTGAAGGAGGAAAAGCAGAGGATGTGACTGTGCAGTCTTTATCATATTTGACCACTGGAGGGAGACAAACTTCTTTCCTTAATGCTACTGTTGCAAAATTAATGGGTCGCCTTGCTGAGTTGAAACAATTATTCCAAACAGAGACACAACAATCCTCGATCCGATTGTGAAACAAGTCTCAAGTTTGATAAAACAATCTATTTTTGCTTATCTGCTAACTAGTTGGAATCAGTTGCAAGTTCAATTGTCTTCTAAATATCACAACCTTTTGCTTTGTACAAGCTGTTTTATTCATGTTTTTTGCTTCTTACATCATCAACATCATGGGAAAAGTTACTGAGAGTCAAGCCTTCAAGAACAATGATAACTCGGCTTACCTGAGTTCCACGCAGCCTTCACCCAGCAAAATAACTTGATGAGGTCATGCTCCATGACCCCAGTTTGTCCTAAAAAGTAAATGACACAGCAACTCAATTTTTTTTTTTTTACAGATTAAAAAGTAAGTCAAAGCTCAGCTTGTCGTGTTCTAAGAGAGGCGTTTCACTCAAATAAAGAGTGATCTTGAGAACTGGAGAGGCTGGTTTAAGTTATGGCTCCATTGTATGATCATATGATAAAGTGACGATCAGGCGCCAGAAGAGAGTCCTGCTCTGGTGTTTTGATGGGATACAATGAGATGTAAACAGAGATGAGACGGGAGAGAAAGACGGAAGGAGGAGGAGTACACACAACTGCTTTATAATCATGACATAGCATTTTCTTGCCATGCATTGCACTATCTGCACACCTGCTGTTTTAAGTGGGCGTGAGCTACAGCTCTTTTAAAGCAAATTTAAGCCCCCTCCCTTTCCCTCTTTAACATTTTCATTCAGATGCTTTGAGGTTCAAATACGAGGAAACGCTGAACTCTGAAGGAGCGTGAGTTTGAGACAGAAGGCGCCAACTCTTGCCTGAAGCTTTAGGGAAACAATCCCATCTGAAGGTAAGGATTTCCCTCACAGTAGCTCTATAAGGCATGTTTTTATATTCAAGATATTTCAAGGTTAGCAGCTTTTGCACATCACCTCGACATATCAGCCTGCTGTAGGTTTGACAACATTCTTAGAGAGACTAAAAGAAGTCTTGGTGTGTCCAAACGTTTCGTGAAAATTGTGTTTTTCCGCCCGCCTCAAGGCATGCCTTTGCGGCAGTGTGGCTGATTGTGTCTCCTGCTGTCATTTCCTCCCCGTCCAGCCTGCTGACCATGGGGGACGTCGAGAAAGGGAAGAAGGTGTTTATGCAGAAATGCTCCCAGTGTCACACCGTGGAAAAAGGAGGCCGCCACATGCAGGGACCAAATCTCGGGGGGATGTTTGGACGGAAGACGGGGCAGGCTCCTGGGTTCACCTACACTCAGGCCAACATTGATAAAGGTGCATGTTTTAGAAGTACTAGAAACCAATCAAGTTCTTTGTTCAAAGTTGGATGACAAAGGAACAAAGATATATATATAAAATATCATTTTTCCTTTTTCTGCTAACAAGGGAACGTTGATAATAACACCACCGGGTAATGAAACGTGGATTTCCAAATCAGAAATTCACAAGCAGAGTTTTTAAAAAGGACACTAAAGGGGGGAAAAAACCCATCTAATTCTGCTTTGTGTGTAATTTGGTTGATAAGATCAGAAGCGGAAGTGATGCTGAAGCAGACAGTGATAATGATCACAATTTCAACTTTCTGGTACAAATCTTATTGTATTTCCATTATTTTCATTAGTTTTTTGGTCTGTTTGGACTCCCTTCACCTTAATTGTCTCCCTTGGAATGAATTACGTCAGTATTCTACTTTTATAACCTTCCCCGAAAATTGACACCGCATTGTGTCTGTGATTGCAGTCAGCTTACCTGAACAACTTTTCTTTTTCTGGGGCAATGTGTGCAGGGGAGCTTTGTTGTGGGAGGGCTCGTTTAATCTCGATGATAAACGGATTACAATAAAACTACCAAACAAACAGAAAAACTGAGCAAGACGGAGGTGTCTGGCTAGCAGCTTTAAAGGATATCCAAAAGATTGTGTTTTTTTTTGTTGTTTTTTTGTTTTTTTTTTAAGGGGATTTTACTGACAATCTCGCAATGGCATATCAAAACCATAAAGCCATAAAATAATTTGAAGAGTTTTATTACAGTGTGGTTCAATCAAAACTGAGAGTCAGTTTGATATTTAAAGTGATGCAATATATCATTAGTGCGTTGGCACAGTTATAGAGATGAGCACTACAAGATTACTGATCTAAAATTTGATCTATATTTAAATACACCAAAGCCCATTGTCTGTGGCCTGTTCTTTGCAATGATCTAATGATTTACTATAGTATAACTTTACGTCACACGACTTTTTGTTCATCTCAGCCAAGAGGAGGGTTTTTTGGTTGTTGTGAGGAAAGGAAGCTTGTTTTCTTGACATGGCGGTGAGAACAGCAGGTCTGGACAGGCCGGCTGGGGTGTGCGATACTTTTAATTTCTGACTCTGAGCTACGCTCCGACAGCAGGACATAAAAACCTTACAACTGTCACCACACATCTAAGGCGGCAGACAGTTTTTTTTTTGTTTTTTTTTATGAGGCCACCTTTATTAAAGGTTCCTGTGATGGCGATAAGCATTTCAAATGTACACTTTTCATACAGGTGTCATATGGGGCGAGGAAACGCTGAACATCTACCTCGAAAACCCAAAGAAATACATTCCAGGTACGAAGATGATCTTCAATGGCATCAAAAAGAAAAAGGAGAGAGAAGACCTTATCGCCTACTTGAAGGATGCGACAGCCTAATACGCTGATGACCCGTACAAGTGCAGTGTTCGCCTTGACGAAATAAACGTTTTCCCTATGAACATTAGTTACATGTTTTGTCCGTGACCTGCTCTTGAAAAGTTGGGTGTCAAAACTTTTAAAAACCGCTGACTCACCATGCTGTTAGCGGTTTCGTGGAACTGCCTGTTTTTAATGGCCGTGAGTCACACCGCCTGCAGTTTGCAACTATTCCAGAAAGCAAAAGTTTTACTGCCACACGCACAAGAGCTGCATTTTTACGCTATGCTCTTATTTTGCATTTTTTGTCTAACTTTACTTTTTTACCTACATGTTTCACACTGTGATCCTTTTTCACGTTGCATCAATGGAAAAGGTTGGTTTTATTGTTAGTTGATGTTTGAGGCTATAGTGTCATACAGGCTTGTGTTTTTGAAGACAAAAACTTTGTCTTTTTCACACAGTCATTGTTTTGAGGACAGGAAGCTCAACCGAATGTGTTGCGTAGACACATTTTTATATGTAATTTAGCAGGTCGCAGAAATAACCTTGTAAAGAGGTGATAATTGCAATTACATTCTGATTTTCTTCAGATTTAACATAATCAACTATATCATTTTTTTCTATTTCTCCTCAACATACCTTTCAGGGTTTTTTTGTGGAAAACTCTCAAATAAATGATTTTATTGCAGATACAGTAGGAGAACGATAGAAATACCCAATCTTCAGCATGAGTACATTTCTTTATCGAGAAATGTAACTCTGTCAACAAGTAATTGTTTTAACAAAACCACAAGCAACACAATTATTGCATTAATATAATAAAGTTGACAGTTGACAAGAATTTACCCCAAACAAAACAAATCACAAAAAAACTGAGGAAAAGTCTTATGTCCCAGACACCTTGTAGGGAAACAAGGATTTCTAATGAGGGACTCAAACAGGAGTATGGAGAAAATGGAGATGGCATCAACAGCGAGTACATTGCCTTCAACCATTTTTAAACAATGTTTTTCTCTTATATATTTCAAAACGCATAGCACATGTTTTGCATTAATCGTCATTGTTGGTCAAATGCATTGGAAAAAACTCAACATCCAACACTTCCCAATCCTAAAAGAGGTCCTGTCTCCTCAGCTTCTGGAACCTCCACCATACATGAACATGCTATTGGAGTGAGACGCGTGTGTTGCTCTGAATAGGTCGGAAAATGTCCCGCCTAAATGTGCATGTATCTAAAATGTTTAAAACAGCTATAACTGTGACAAACAAGGCTGAACAAGGCACACATTCACCACTGTGGAGTCTTATGAAATGAATATGTATGTTTTTAACATGTAATATTCAAAATCATAATTTGTGATCTGCAAGTGTTTTTGTTTCATATCTGCCTTAGGAGAAACTGAGACATTTATTTATTTATTTATTTGGTCCATTTTGGCCCTCAGTAGGAGTTTGCTCCTCGTGTTTGAAGCGTTACATGTAAATATAGATTTTATGTCTTACTCTAAAATACCCAGCAGAGGGCGCCATTATTCTAATAAGAGGCCGTTAAAGCGCAACAAATCGCGCCAGACCAGCGTGCAGACGCTCCTTAGAAGTGTCAGATCCGTCCTGGCGAATCTGAAGTCGATCCGGATGGCACAACAGATACATCAGATCCAGTCGATCCGGCGGGACTGAGGCACCGTTGCTCTGTGCTTTCTGCTGGGCATTTCAGTGCCAGAAGGAGGAAGAGGAGGAGGAGGAGGAGGATGAAGAGGGGCTTAAAAAAACTGCATTCCTTTAAAAATTGTGTTATTCACCGGCAGATGGAAGGAGGAGATCGATAAGTAGGATCCGATTGATCAGGGTTGCAAATTTTTGCACGGTGAATGTCAGCGAAGCCTCCTCTGCACAGCGCTCTTCATTTCTTCTAGGTGAGAGGAGCGTCAGACAGCGTGTCTGCAGGTGCCACACAATCAGATTCAAGTGCAAGGTAGGAGAGAGCCTGTTGATGCCACTTTTCTAATGTTGGTTCATCTACTGGACGGGCTGTATCGCTTATACAAAGCAGGGTAACATTAAACCGGGGGATCATCCCGATTAATCACATCCCTGCACTGATCAACAGTGCTGAAATATGTGTTCACTCTAACAAACTGTGTTTGAATGGACCCATTACAGTCTTACTACAGTTGCATGACTTATGTGTCTGTACTGTATGCTAGTGATACACCCCCTCTTCCTTCTCTAGTCTAATTCTGGCACAGAGGGCGTATGTGCACGGCTGGAATTACAGCGGTGGCTGCATCTGCTGCAGTGAGGGGCTTCAACAAGTTTATAGAGCAGCACTGACAGCCCACAGAGGGTGGGTTAGGTTGGGTGGGGCTGGGGACTCTGAAGGGAGGAAAAAGGAAAAGTGACAGCTGCCAGGGGACTGCAGGATTAGCGCGTGTGCTTAGGAGAGCTTGTGTTGTGTTCATTTCAGGGACGGCAAACAGGCAGCATGGAGCTGATGAAAATTGCATTGTCCCTTCCCATTCTTCTGTGTCCCGCTTGGGCCTTATCCCATCACTCCTACCTGGACGGCATCTTGTCGCCTCACTCAGGTACGGTATCAAGCTGTGAGCGTGTGCTGCAGAACGCAAACAGGCCCAGATGTGATGTAACGGTAGACCGTGTAACATGAGTGTTTCGCCGCAGCGATGCAGAGGGGCGTCCTCCCAGCCCTCAGGTTCCTGGATGAGGCGTTGAGGTTTGACCCCTGTTGTCTCATGTCGCCTCCTCCACCGCCGCTCTTCCCTCCTCCTCCTCGGCTTTGGAAAAGGGGCACACCTGTAAGTTTGTGTACCGCACCCTCTCCCCGTCGGCCTGTGCTTCCATTCCCACTGATGGCCACTCATTGAGGAGCTGTTGTTTTTATTTATGTGCTAACACGATTGGTGAAATGAAGGACGCACTGAGCTTATTGGAACCAACCGTTTTCGGAGGTGAAGGGCCAGATAATACACATGTAACCCCAGAGTGTTCACCAGGACCCCCAGGACCTCCAGGACCCCAGGTAAGGACTCACCTCAACACACCACATTTACAGTGCTTTGAAAACATATTTGTGTCTTTTGAACTCTTTCCAATGTAGCCACAAACTTCAATGTATTTCTGAAGATACTAGGGGTTCACTGATTGATCAGCCCTGAATTCTTTAGCTTTTGGTGGTCAGCCGATTCTCAAATATCAAAGTGATCTTATCCATGGATATTGCACTGATCTCCACAAAAGATCTGGAAGTCTCTGCCTTAAGAGAGGGCTAAGTTGACAGACCCGCCCACCGGGTCACATGTAAACATTTCATTTATGTTTGAGAGCACTACCTCATGCGCAGGTAAAAAGTTTGTGCCACGTGCATTGTTCAGTCTTTTTTAGTAAAATAAGACTGGGACATTAAAGGTGTATTGTAACCTTATAACACCTGACAGTGTCAGTCATTTACAAAAAAAAATCAGTATCAGTCTAAATCAGAATAGGCAGGTTAGGCTCTTTAAAGATTGACCAGAAAACTGCAATCGGTGCACTTTTGGAAAAAAAACAAAAAAAACAACAACATATCACCACAACTTGATGCTGGTACCTCCATGTGTCACCACAAGGATGGTGTAGTGAGAGGTGTTAATTTGTAGGGCAAAAAGTTTCAACTTTGGTTTCTTGTGACCACAACAATTTCTTCCACATGTCCAGATCAGGTGGATGCCCATATCTTTGTTGGTTTGCAGCTGTGCCGATCCAGTTCTTGGGATAAAGGCCCTACCCTTAGCTTCTCCACAATGTTATCCTTAAGTGTATTCTATCTACTAACTGTATAACTTCTGAACTGTAATTTCCTGCATTCATAATTTGTGGTATCAGAAACATAGTGCTGTCGGCATCATGTTGATGGGATGCTTTTTTGGGGCAAAATATAGAAAGGGTCAAAGGGTGTAAATGGCTTTGCCGGGCCCTGTGCATTAGCTTTTGATTAAATCATGTTGCATTGGATAGCTACGGACATTTAAGGCAGTAGATGGAAATATTGTTAAGCAAGCATAGACGGGAATTTCGATAACCTTGTTACTATTGATCACGCTGCAAATGTATTGTCCTCAGTATAGGTCACACAAGCTGGATAAAAATGTTGTATGTCATTTTTCAGGGTGAAATTGGATTGCCTGGTATAAGGGGACCAAAAGGGAGAAAGGTGTGTGTTCTCCTTGAGAATTATGCCTCTAATTCAGTTTTCCGCCGAAGGAATTTGTCCTTGCGTTCACCTGCGCTCTAATGACATCTCTTCTTCTTCTTCTTCTTCTTCTTCTTCCATTTGTCGTCCTCCAGGGAGAAATTGGACGTCCGGGGGCAAGGGTGAGCAGCTTCTCTCCTGCACGCATTCCTTCATACCCCTCTCTATCCTCCTCCAAGCATTCCCTCTCTATAATCCGATTTCTTTATCAATATCCCCGGAATTCTCCTCCCATTACTAAATGGGTCACGCAACATTAGTCTCAGCTTTGAAGCTTGATCTCCTGGGGCATCCTTCAGTACCCTGCTCATTTTCCCTTACTCTCCGGCTCTCCTTGGCTTGGTCCCATTCACCTCCACGACTGAACCCAAGTCCTGCTGATCAAGCCCCTCTGCCAGCACTCTGCTTGTGCGTTTTAATCTTCCTAAGTGCTTTTGCTTTCCATGATAAATCACACAGCAGGTCCACCGTGCCTCTAGACGCCGCAGCCTTACACACAGCCCGCCGAACGAAAGCGCGGGGCTGCGGCTCTGGAATGCAGTTCAGGTGTAAACAAGATGTGAGGATGCGTCTCTTCCATTTAGCTAGCGGAGAGCTGCAGAGTGGGACTAATTAGGGCTTTATTTCTGTTCCTCATTAAGGTTTTGCATCCTGCCTTTCTTTCTTCATATGTCTCTGCTTCAGATTTAGTCGAGTATAGCGTGAAGACTGTACTCTTCCCCTGTAAAATATACATGGGAAGATGTAAGCATTTTTTTTTTATCTCCAATACTCCGTTTTGTTATGTTCCAACCACAAACTGTGATGTATTCAGATTTTTATTTTTTATTATTTTTTTTGGTAGGCCTTTGCGAGGTTGCTGTGAAAGGGAGGGAAAATAATGCATGTTTTTTTTTTTGTTTTGTTTTGTTTTGTTTTCTAAATACAAGTCTGAACAGATTTCTTCCAGATTTTCCCGCATCTAGCTCCACCCTATCTTCTCCCCAGTTCTGGCCAGCGTCTTTGTTTTTGCTGCAGAAAAGCATGCTGCATGATTCTGCCACAGTGTATCATGGTAGTGATGTTGTTTTTGGTTATAATATGACAAGAAATAGTGAAAAAAAAAAAATATATATATGCATCAGTATTTCTAATAGGCACTTGTTTTTTTTTTTTTTCCTGCAGGGCCGTCCTGGTGCTCCCGGTCCTCCAGGAACACCAGGATTTCCAGGATTTCCTGGTCCACAAGGACCCAAAGTAAGTGCCATAAGTTACAAATATATCACTATGTACTGTGGTACACCTATCTACAATGGCACACTGGAGAAATATGTCTCATAGACATCTGCATATTGGGAATGATTGATTTATTTTATTGGTTATAAGGGAGAAAAGGGAGACCCGGGACTCATGGGTTTACCAGGGCTGCGAGGTCCGCCGGGAACAAAGGTCAGAGAAATGTTTCCATCATGAAAACAGCCGGGTAGATTCAAGGTCAACCTTAACATTCTCTGCTTGTCTTTCCAGGGTTTACCTGGTTACAAAGGTGACAAGGTGAGCTTAGAGACAGACGTTCTTCCTACCAAACCGTAACTGTTCCCAAAAGAAGTTGGAAATGTGAAAACAACCAATAATGTCTCACCAAATTGGGGGGGGAGGGGTGATCCTCCTGACAGTGGAGTAATTTACAGCCTACCTAGTTACATTTATGTAACAGAATAATATCAACGACTGACCCGCTGATGGAAAAAGTTCCAGCAAATGCTTGCTGCTTTCTGTTTTTAATTGAATTTTGACACATTTCAATCTTTTGTTTTCGACAAGGGCGACCGAGGCGACCGCGGCTCTGCAGGACCAAAAGGGGACAAGGTCTGTTTGTTTACACTGCAGATCCTGAAGTCGCCTGGGAACTGTTGTGTCTTTGCATTTAGTTCTTCTGTTTGGTTCTATGATGATCTGCTCATACTGCGTTCCAGTGGACCTAAAGATCGACAATATAAGCATCTTCTCCAATTAGCTAAAAGTTCCAAGTAAAGAAAGTCTGATGCACGACAGTTGATTTAAATTGCTGTAGTAATACTTATTTTTCATCACTACATTAGTTTAACCATATGTTTTTTTTGTTTTTTTTGCCTATTCTTTTCTGTCCAGGGTTCAATTGGTTTGCCTGGGATGCTCGGGCAGAAGGTATTGGATAAACTGTCAGGAATATTCACATTAAAAATTAGCCGGAAACCTGACCTATGCTCTTCTCTCAGGGTGAGGCGGGCCCAAAGGGAGAGCCGGGTGTTTCTGGGAAGAGAGGACCAACTGGGAGACCAGGGAAAAGAGGCAAACAGGTAAAGAAATCCTGTACTGTTTGTGTGACTAAAATTGTACATGATAAAAGTGACAGTTCTCTGCGTTTGTGTTTACATTTGGCCTGCTGTTGTTTGTGCAACAGGGTGTCAAAGGGCATTCAGGGGCCCCAGGTGTCATGGGACCCCCAGGACCTGCAGGTCCCAATGGCCTTCCTGGCCCACCTGGGCCTCCAGCATCAGGTACTGTGACCACCTCACACACACACACAACATACACCTGTTTCCACCTCTATATATTATTTTGACCCCTGTATTCATTATCCATGCACCCTTTTTGCAGGTCTCTACTTGGTGGGGGAGAAAGGAGAGAAGGGCCTCCCTGGACCACCAGGTCACTGTGACTGTGATACTGTAATTGGATCAAATAATGCCCCCTTTGGAAACTACTACACGACGCGACGAGGCGTCAACAAACTCACTGCTGTGAGACTCTGGGTGATGACGGTGCAAACTGAAATCGTGTCGTCAGTGTGGCCACTAAGTTTGTGAGTGTTCTCCGGTTCTTTATGCAGATATTTGTGGTGAACAGCGAGGAGGAGATGGGCCGCCTTCATGTTGAAAACGCCATCGTACTAAGGAAAGATAAGCGGATGCTTTACTATAAGGATAAAGACGGCTGGAGCCCCATACAGGTAATTAGAGTCAAAGGTGTACTTGTCTTGCAAAAAAAAAAAAGAAGGGAATAACGCAGAACAGCACAGATTGGATATGAATGCTGAACTTTGACTGGGCCATGGTGACACATATAACAGTTTTACTGTTTTACTTTGATTCCATGGCATGCTGAGGGTAAAAATGGCTCTTTGGACTGTAAAGGCTGCAGACCCCTTGTGGTCTAGCACATGAAATCTCAATCAAATGCAATGTGGACAGTGGTAATATATCTGAAAAGCACCGTGCATTCGAACATTCAGCTTGAAAGCAGAATATGCTTAGTCTCTAAAATGATCTTGTGTAAGCATTCTTCTAGTCTGCATAGCAACACCTGGTTGCCGTTCATATTTTCTGTCCCTGCAGCCCTTTCAGCCATTCCAGTCCACGGAGACCATCCCAGACAGAGTAGGTGTGTGTGGGGACGGGAAGGTGCAGATCCAGCACGGGGAAGAGTGCGACGACGGAAACCAGATCGTCACAGACGCTTGTCTCAGTAAGTAAAACGCACAGACTGTGTCCTCAGTTTCATTTCAGTTAATTATGCACCAGGTTTACTATAAACAAGTCTAGATTTTTGCCACAGGAAAAATAAAAGTATGCTGCAGAGCAAAGCCACAGCATGCCACTGGATCCTGTGCTCATGTGGCGCAGTCTAAAAGACTTTCCTTGATCTTTTATTAATCCCTCACCCTTCCCTCTCCCTGCCAGCCTCTCACTACGCTCTGCCTCTATCCAATTAAATTAGCAGGAAAATGCTTTGCTGGCATCACCGAACACGGGTCGCTGTGCCAAAGAAATTAGTAACGTCTTCTTTCTCCTGCTCCGTTGCGTTCTCACATTTTCTCTTATCCCGCACCCCCTGCAGACTGTAAGTGGGCCTACTGTGGAGATGGATACCGACATGAGGGTATAGAAGAGTGCGATGGGAAAGATTTTGGTTACCAGACCTGCAAATCCTATCTTCCCGGGTACGCTAACTGATTCTTAGAGCATGCACAAAAGTGTTTTACTGGATTTTTTTAATTTTTTTTTTTTTATTACAGCAACTTTCATTACAGATTTTAAGATAATTCAATAAAAGGAAGCTGTTTTTAAATATGGTACCTCTCTAAACAATTCATACACCTTGAATTTTCTTTCCAGTCGTGCCACGGTACGATCACAAACTCCGATGTATTTTATTGGAGTTTTCTGACATAGTCCAACACAAAGTGGTGCACAATTGTGGAGTGAATCAAAAAAAAGGTAGTGGCAGCATAATGCTGTGGGGCTGATTTTTCTTAGCATGGACCTCTCAGGCTGTTTAAGCTAATGGGAAGACGAATGAAGCTACATATAGAGCCAAGTCAAGAGATAACTACAAAATGAGGACCCAAGAAAAATTTGAGGATTGTGAGAGAGTTGAAATATTTTAATACATCACTGATTGTAAAGTGCAACATTTTGTAAACGTGAAATATTGTTAAATTATTATTATTTTTTTTTAAACTGAGCTGCAGAGGTAGACATATTTTCATGCATTTTTATCGGGACTCCCCGACTTCTTTAAGCTAGCCCCGCTTTCATATTCATGTTAGCAAACGGCACATTTCATTCATTTTTAACCACTCTCTATGCTTCTGCAGGTCCTTTGGGCAGCTTAAATGCACCGAGTCCTGCCTCATTGATTCTACTGGCTGCAAGTACTTCACCTGAATACAGAAGGCCTCCCTGAATGCAGAAATCGTACTTCAGTACTTCCTCTGGAGTATCAAAGCTTTGAAACAAACAAGTGATGCACTGAAAGACTGCACTAAAGCGAAGCTGATGTGCCTGCTCCGAGGCATGAAAAGTCATGGAAGAATGTTTTTTTTTTTTTTCTGTCACATCAACTGTAGTACCCTCCACACCTTGAGGTTTGGTCTTGAATGTGCCTCCGAGAACAGCTCCACGGGCTGCAGCACTGTTATAAAATCATTAGTGATGGTGGGAAACATTCTAAGGATGTAATAATCATACCATGTCAAATACTTACACTGTTTAAGACGTGCTGACTGTTAATGCAGAAATAAGCTATGTGCTCTTTCCCACAAGACGTTAAAAAAGGGTTGTATCGTATTGCAGTATGCAAACCTAAGGCGCCTGAATGTTCTTACTCCTGTGCAATGTATAACAAAACACGTGTTTATTAAGTGCAATGTCGTGATATTGCATGCAAATGTGTATAAGCGCACAGAAGACTGCTTTATCTGTTCAGCCCTGTAGCCATATTGTGTCCCCTCTAGCAGAGGAATTGCAAACAATCCGACAGGAAAACACGAATGTCCTTTAGCAAAAACATAGTAATGACATACGGTTACCGAAGCAGCATGATGTATGAATGTAAGTGTACATTTGATAAGACAATAACACCAATAAAGACTTGATCTTCATGTCGGGGGCTTGTGTGGAAAGCAGCCAAGCAGAAGAAAAAGATCTGCAGCAGCTTCCTAACGATATTCCTGTAAATATTCCTGCACTTGTTGCTTTTCTCGTTCAAAGGAAGGATCTCTGCAGCACAGGAACACAGTCCTGTTCCTCACCGGCAACAAACATAAAGTCCAATGATTTATTCTGCAACTATTGTATTGAGAATATTTAAATGGAGCGAAAAATAATGCTCTTTACCATTTTGTTCAAATGTCTGTTATCCTGGTTATATTAGAGAAAGTGATTATTAAATAAATATTAATGATGTTAAGAATAACAACAGATATGAGAAGGTAAAAGCGTCACCCCAAACCACTTCATTGGTATTATTTCATGCAAACATTTTGCTGTTTCTGTGCTTACAGTTCCATTCATAGATGTCTCACCTGCATTAGCTATGAAAAGCCCAAATGTAAATAATCATGATCTCACTTCCTTCTTTTTTATTTTGCTTGGCCCAGACTCTGTCTCTTTATTCACAACTTTTGAGGTGCTAAAAGATTTCTCTTTATTTTTTCTTTAGCACAGGCCTGGTGAAGATGGATGAATGGGTGTATTTTTGTTCCTGTCATATTTGATATGTATAGCATTTTTATAGCAACTGAAGGTAACATAGTTACGCTATATGCTTTAAAATGGCACACAGAACGTTCCCCCATTCTGGAAAACACAGAACGTTCCCCCGTTCTGGAAAACACAGAACGTTGCCCCGTTCTGGAAAACACAGAACGTTGCCCCGTTCTGGAAAACACAGAACGTTGCCCCTGTAATCTTGCAGTCATGAAAAATAAACAAGATAAATCACCTACATTGCTGTGTGCTTTCAGGACAAGATAAAGTAACAAATGTGGCATGACTTATTTTACTTTAGAGTTTAGAAATGTGAATAACTAGTGAAAGTACAGGGAAACAATCAACAATCACGGGAAACAATCAACAATCACATACTGCAGGAGAAAAACTTTCTTTTTAGTTAAAAAGATTAAATACAACCCTTGGAGGTTGAAGGGAAATGTGAGGTTAATAATTATCTTTTTTTTTTTTTTTTGCCAAATTATTTTGACCAATGAAACTCCACCAATTGAGCAGACGCCTCTCTGTGTGAGATGCTTCAAAACACGATAAGAGGCAGATGACTTCATAACATCCATCAGTGAAGTTCAGGAAGCCATCAACACCAAGCTACATTTTTTGTCTTCTAACTCCAACATGTCGTTGCTCTTCTTGTTGGGCCTGGCTCTGGTTGCCATGTCTCCCTCGAACGGGGGTGAACTTGTGCTAGAGAGAAACAGTTGTCCAGAGTTCTGGTACAGCTTCAACGGCCGCTGCTACAAGTACATTGCCACAAAGATGACCTGGGCTGATGCGGAGCTCTACTGTCGGTCCGTGGACAGCAACCTGGTGTCCATCCACAGTCTGGAGGAACACAACTTTGTCAATGCCATGATCAAGAGCTATGATCCTACTCAGGCCTTCACCTGGATTGGACTCAGCGATCTCCACAAGGAAGGATCCTGGATGTGGTCAGATGGGTCCAAAATGGATTTTCTCCTTTGGGACGAAGGACAACCAGATAATGCAGGAGAAAATGAAAACTGTGGACACACCAACATGTTCACACACTATAAGTGGAATGACTATGTGTGCTCACTAACATTCTCTTTCGTCTGTAAAAAGCACTGCGCTTGTTGGCAGAGGCAGGAAAAATCATCTGAATCTGCTGTCCAATTTAACTTGTCATGAAATAAATCTCTATAATTAATTTAAAAAAAAAGAAAACTGATGTCATCTTTGTGAATGATTATTTAATACTGTTTGTAACTAAACGTTACTACATTTTTCTGTGATGTAGTACATCTCAAGTATTAGATCGGATTAAAACCTAATCAAGAAAATAAAAAAAATAAACAAGATTAATCTTTTGGAACTGAAATTTGTGGCACTGGATGTGTTTTAATAACTTATATTTTTTTATTCCCATCCATCCACATTTTCTTACAATTATTTTTTCCAACCTCTTTGGACATTTTTAAAGCAGCAATTTATGTATAGTTGACATTTTTGTGAAGAAATATAAGTTGTGTGAGGGAAATTCAGCAGAAAGTTACACAACATCCATTCGGTCCAGAGACAAAGTCTGAACAAACAGTGCATGTTGTACTGTAAACAGTACATGTACCAATAAAGTACATGTTGTTGATTTAGGTGACCTCGTTGTTTTCAACAGTCAGAAACATGCATTTTAAATTGACAAGCTATTAATGTGAATATTCCCAAACGCACTTTCTTGACTTGAAGTGCCACAAATATGGAAATAGTTTATAATTTAACTGTCCTGAGGTGAATTCATTTGAAAGTTTAAAGCAACTTCAAGTGTAACAAATGAGGTTGGACAAGGACCCAAGAATAATTTGAGGATGGTGAGGGGAGGTGAAATATCTTTTTAAGTCACTCACTGAGAACTACGTCATTTCATATGTGGAAAAAAAAATGCTTTTGCAAAAAATTTTACTTATAAAAAAGGAAAATAAAACATAAAACTGAGCCACAAATGAGTAAATGGACATATTTTCCATGAATTTTAACCCCAACTTTGATTTTTTCTTTTTCTTTTAAGCTAACTATCTCCTTGCTTCACGCTCATGTTAACAGAACTACTTTAAACAGGAAATTGTACTTTTGTCCACGTGCTCAGATCTATAAAAAAGTCACGGATTTTGCTGTTGTTCTTGAGGCAACTATAATATAGCAGAAATAAAGTAATAACACTTTTGGATCTGCCCTAAAGTATGAATGAAGAAGTGTAAATGTAAATAAACTTAGTAATAACGCTTGTCTGCAGATTAGAATCAGATGAAGGCTTGTGGGCGGGGCTTTTGTGGAAAGCAGCCAATCAGAGGAACGATTCCTGCAGCAACTTGTTCACTGAAGCGTCACTCACTGCCACGTAGAGGAGAAGCTGCTGCTGCTGCTGCTCCTGCTGCTGCTTCTTTTTGTTTTCTGCTTAAACTTGCCTGAAGTTGGGTGTGTGGGCATGTTCCTGATAGTGCTGAGCCTCCTCGTCTCCTCCATGCTGGCCTCCGTCCGAGGCGGGAAGCTGCCCGAAGCCGAGGTGGACATAGAGGTTCTGCAAAGGCCCTTCATCTGTCACCGAAGGTCCAAGTACGGAGACATGCTGCTGGTGCATCATGACGGATACTTTGAGAACGGGACCATGTTTTACTCCAGGTACAAAGTGTTTCCATGGCTCACACGCCTTGTTTATTAAAGAATTTGAAACATAATAAGTTTGGGGGGGGGGGCAGAGGGGAGTCTTCATGTTTTTGTTCCTGGTGGATTATGCATTGGTCTGGCATGTTGTGTAACAGAAGTTGTAACACTGATCCTTCTCTTCTGTGGCAGTAAAAAAAAAAAAAAAAAAGTTTTCGGCAATCATAAAACGAAGATGAGTGAATAGAAGATGAGAGAGAAAAATGTGGCTGCTTGGAAGATTTAACGACTACAATAACAAAAGGCAGTTTCGCTACTTTAGCCATTACTCATTAATCAACCAGGTGATCAGCTTGTCTCATAAATTGCAGAAGGTATAATATGAGGTGCAATAATCATTCAAATTAGAAAGCATTAATTGTTATATATTTTTCTCAAACGTGTGCATTAAAATCGATAAGAAAAATGTTACATCATCATTGTTACAGCTTTATGAGTGAATATATTGTATTATTTTAGCAGCAGGAAAAATAATTGTCTTTCAGCCACCATATCATGCTATGCATTTTAAAGGTTCAAATTAATTATGGCAGGTATAAGCCTGGCGGGCCACCAGGCTCTACTTGTGCCCCCACCAGGCTAAGCATTGCTTATTTATTTAAAATTGTTTAAAAATGTTTACATTTTTAAGACTCTGTAGCTTAAGTTCAGGTGTTAATCATCCAAACTTCCAATAGCATAAAAATTATCAAGTGATATTTTCATGTCTTCTGCCAACTTTAAACATTTTTTAACTCAAAAACACAACGGGCCGCTGGATGAATGACCGCCGAGCGCCCCAACCACCGGGCTTAGCAAGTTTTCTGGGGGAAACCTTATTATGGTATTTTACTGTAACTGTAAAATTGCTTTAATTTTTCTCGATATTATTACATGGTGAAACTCTCATTACACCCCAACAGCAGTGGAAACTATCCCTCAAGTTTTAAAATGTTGCTGGTCATCCCAGCACGCACATTTATAACAGATGTAAAATTATTGCCTTATAAAGGGCAATAGCAGCATTGCATATCATGCCACACCTGAATATTTTATAAAAAGGTTCTGTGTCTTATAAAACTGTGAAACATCAGTGGTTGTAATTCAGCAGACTCAGGGGTCCCCCATTATAATATAAGCCTGGCAGACCACCAGGCATTACTCCCTCCTGCCCTAGCGCATCTACCACCAGGTTTAACAGGTTTAAATGCTGAGAGTGAAGAGGTTATTTTTTATTTGCTCACAACTGTCTAACTGTGAATGAAGGCAGAGGTGACACGTTTAAATGGCGTCTCTCTCAATATGTTTTTCCCAACAGTCGAAGGCAAAATGAGAAAGCAATGTGGTTCACATTGGGGATCAGGGAAGTACTCAAAGGCTGGGATCTAGGCCTGCAGGACATGTGTTCAGGAGAGAAGAGGAAACTGGTAGTACCTCCAGCCCTGGCCTATGGGAAGGAAGGGAAAGGTAGAGGGAGGCCTTGTCCGTCTTCTGTCTTCAATGCATGCTGCTGAACACAGTCAGTCTCTCTATGTGATATTCATGTTTCTCTGTATTACTTCCACTGGTTTTCTAGGATTTTCATGCTAAGCTGAAACTTTATTGTGGGCCAGTCGTCTGCTTTGACTCAGCATGGAGCATGCAAACAGTACTGTGCTTTCACTCTGGTAAGCACAAACTACACTAACCAAACCCATCGCCCTGTAGGAGCTAACCATCCATATTATAGACGGAAAAACATCCAAAAGCTTGGCTGGACGACTCAAACTACCTACTTACGGTTTTGTTGATGCAATGTTTTGACGGCTCCATTTTTTAAGCTGACTTGTTGCCATGTTACCTGTGACCAGGTAAGATCCCACCGGAGAGCACACTGACCTTCTTGGTTGAACTGCTTGAAATCAGAAATGGTCCGAGGTCTCACGAGTCCTTTCAGGAGATGGACCTCAATGACGACTGGAGGCTTTCCAAATATGAGGTGAAAACAAAGATTTTTTTTTTTTTTTTCCCCGACTGTACAGAGTCAAGAAAAAGATTTTTTATTGTTTTACTTAATTTTTTTTACTATTTACTTTTTTTAATCTCTATATCTCACTATGTTTGTATGTTTTAGGTGAAAGAATATCTCAGGAAGGAGTTTGAGCGCTACGGCTACCCGCCCAACGACACTTTACACGAGAACATGGCGGCCGATATCTTCGCCAAAGAGGACACGAACAAGGATGGTTTCCTGTCTTCAAGAGAGTTCACCTACAAACATGACGAACTGTAGAGTCACTGCTGTGGCTTGTCGCTTAAACACAAGAGACTCTCAGGTTATCTAAAGCAGCATGCTTGTGTGACACAGAACTGTGAAACTCATTGCGTCAGACATTTTAAGCAGACTGTTTTGCTTTTGGGCCCCAAGTTTTCAATCAGAGGTAATACTTTTAAAAACCAAGAACAGCAAAGAAGGTAAATCATTTGGCTTTCCATTTTAACTCATAAGATCATTGAAGACAAGCAGTTCTATTCAGAAGTTTTCATCTACTCAACAGCAGCTAAATTTTATTTTGGTGGAATAAGTATACCACAAAAAAAACTTCATTGTCTCTCAGTAATATCAAAATTTTATATATACATACACCTCCACTAGTAGTTGGTTTAATTTTTTTTTTTTAGAAAAACCATACGGCTCAGGTGGGGCCTTCACCAAGCTCTAGTGCTAAGTATTTTACCACTATTCATTTTATGAGAAACTGCTAAATTATTTTAAATATTTCTCTTTTTTACATGGACCTGTCTTTCAAGTAAATTTTTTCCATGTACATAGCTGTATGTCCAGAATAATTACTTTCATGCCAATTATGCACTGGCTTGAAAGATGCAGTATGTAAACTTCTGACCAGAGCTGCAGGTCAAATGACTCCACTGAATCTCAATTTAAAAAAAAACAAACTCTATGGTGCTCACATTTTTCCTACTGTAGAAATGCCTTGTATTTCTTTTTCCTTTTTGACATCTTTCTAAAGCTAATTTTCTGAATCCATTTGGATAGAAAAACATAAACTCTCCAAAACAAATTTACCTTAAAATCTGGAACATGTTATATTTATTGACTTGAGCATTAAAATAGATTTTTTAAACAGATTTGGTCTTTTTTTTTTTCTAGTAAAATGAACTCAGACATGATATTCAGAATATAGCTGTCAGTCACACACCACCTACAACTGTGTGTAGATGGTGCATCAAATATTGCACAATTTCTTTTATTTCCAAATACTTTTGTTCAGTGCTTGTGGTCAGTCTTCCACTGTAGAGATAATCAGAAATGGAGTAAATACTCGTCAATAAAATGGTTTGTGCCAACTTTGGTTAATCTGCTGATACTTCCACATTTGACCAGCAGATGGCACTGTCCTCCCAGTTAAACTTTGCGCTAGCTGTTACTGGGACGAGGAAAACAGCTGAACTTATGTATTTTTTGCTCATAAAATCTGAACCCTGAACATCCTATTTATCCATCCTCGCATGTCCGTCTTATAAATTTTTCTGAAAAATAAAAGTCACATTAACACAAAGGAGCACCACTATACAAAGACTACCAAGCAAACAGGTAAGACTGAGTAATCATAAAGGATCTACATGGAACCTTGTTTTTTACTCCAAAATTCAGCACATCCATTAAAATGTGTGTTGAGAAATGACAAGAAAATGAAAGTTACAAAATACTTAAAGTTCAACTTAAATGCAACTCTTGGACAAAGACAACTTTGTATGTCTTTAAAAAGTTGTGGCTATAAATGTAGTAAACAATATAGAGTTGAGGTAACACAAGATGTCAAAAATCTTCCTTTTCAAGTCCTTCCATTAGTGAGTAAATCGATAAAAATGTTAAAAATAAAATAGGAAAAAAAAGTGATGGAAGACTGTGTCCCACGACTTAGTGTGTAGAGACTCTATCTAGTCTGTCGAGCCCTCCTCCTCACACACATTGAAAACATTCCGAGCTGAAGAAGGTCAGAGGTCGCACAGTCAGAATAAGGCTGGACCCTGTTTGACACTCACGCTCACGCAGAACACGCAAACACACCAAGGATAAATGAGTCTCTGTGTCCATTTTGTGAGTGTCTGGAGCCGTCAAGCGGCCGACCGAGGACCAGTGTTCTTTGAGTGAGGAGGAAGTTGGCGGCTCAGTGACTCATCTGAGGTGTGTCCTGATTCCAGGTGGCTTTGGGTTCACTGAAAGACAAAGTAACAGATGAGACCGCAGCGCTAGGAGACAGTGTAAACATAATTTAGTGTCTTGCAAAAGTGTCGTACGCCTTGAACCTTCTCACACTTTCTTGAGTTTCAACCACAAGGTTTATTGTACTTCGTGTGCTAGACTTGCACAAAGCGGCACATAAATGTGAAGGAAGTATAAGGATACATGGTTTCCCATTTCTTTATAGGTATAAAAACATGTGGCGTGAATGTATTTGCCTTCAGCCCTGCATCTTCTTTCACATGTTGGCTTCGTAGCCTATATGGCTTATATTTGTTGCATATATAATGTTATTGTTACCTGTTTTTTCAAGATAGGGTGATTGTAAGTTTGCAGTCTTTTTGGGTGGGTTGAACAGTGTTTTATGAGATGCTTTAAAGCTTGGGATGGGGTTTTATAACCTAACTCTGCGCTAAAATTCTCCACCATGTCTGGTTTGTTCCTTGACTTTTAAGATGTTGTTTGTTTGCAAATGTTCACTTACAAACTTCCGAGAACAACACAGAGAGGCTACAATTATATGTAGCTGTGCTACACGTTCATTCAACTCCACAATTATACACTGCTTGACATATGTGTGTCCCATGAAATCCCCCTAAAATAACTTTAGGGCTTGTGGTTGCACAACCACAAAATGTGGAAAAGGGGAAAGGTCCTGCATGTGTACAGAGTGAGTACCTCTGTTTTCTTTGCTTGGGTAAACGCGAGGGAAGGGCTTGAATTCATCGGGCGGCGGGAGGTCTTCTACAGGGTGGAACTGGAACTTGGATTCAAAGTCGTCTACTGGACAGAAAAGATGCAGCTAGTAGTTAAAACATTCAAGCTCGTTTTCCATCAGATCTGAGTTCTCATCAATACAAAAATTCATTTTAGCTAATATCACAAAATAACAGATAAAATCAATACCGATTGTATCGGTATTGATACAATTGTATCGGTATTGTATCGATACCATCTTCCTATTTAGACGATGGGATCTTCTAAATAAAAGATATTCATGTTTAGCTTTATCTACTTATTTCTTGTATGTGTTTCACCTTATAGCTTTCTTTAAGCCTTCATTTATGGAGGCCCATAGGTGCCACAAATAATGAAATAATTTAATTACTAAAGGGAGAAATTACAAATTACTTCAATTTGGAAAAAATATTTTATTAAATGTGCTAATGGTTAAAAAGGTTACAAAAGTACATAAATAAATATTAAAAACAACACATACAAATGCACAATTACATAATAATTATGATGTATGATTATTTTTAATTTAAAATTCAATTATTTTATTATGTTTTTATTAAATTATTGACTTATGCATAAAAGTTGCCACACAGTTTCTTGTCATATGTAAATAATTATTCAATGACGTAATGATTTATTTATTCATTAGCAAAACTGAGGCCCGTTTGAACCTCCATGTTTGTAAGTTTCTAAAACGATTAATGTTATTAATATTTAAATATTTAAAGTCAGCCTCTAGAATGCAAAACTTCACATGCTTAAACAATACCTCCCAGGCTACTGTTTAAGCTGTTGTTAAGCAAAAACAAAGGAAAGATATAAAGGTTTCAGAAAACACAAGCACTTTGTGTTTTCTGATGCATCAGAAAACACAGTGCATCAAACCCTACAATTTAAATGTGGCGCACTGTCTTTTCACCACAGTTGTACATTCTCTCTCTTTATATGCAATAAGATAGTGAAACTTTACCCAGACTGTGGAGGTGTCCATTCCTAAGGCTGAATGGAGGTGGAGGAGGAGGCGGCGGAGGGGGAAGAATGCGGGTGGACAACTCTGTGGTGGGGGAACGTGCCGGAGGAGCCGGTGGAGGAGCCAGCAGCCGACCCACACCTGTCAGAGAGACGAGAGGGGTCAGCAGTTTGATCCAACCACATGCAAAGTCACCACGATTTGATCTAATGCCAGCTAACACACACAGAATATTTAATTATGCTTATTTGTAACTCAGGGAAAAAGCAACTATTCACGTAAACTCCCAAAGCACACAGAGTGTTGGGTTTAATGGCAAGGTGAGACTAGCGCCACAGAATCCAACCTGGACTCTGCAGGAAAGTCCACAAAGAGATGTTTCTGTTCACTCACACACGCAGAAAATCAGCAGAGGAGTCGATCTGAGTTCGTTTTAAGTCAAACAATTTCATAATGACTGTATTTGTCACTGCATCGTTTCACTGTCTCATGGTTTAACTTCTGGTCCTATATGAGGGTTAAAAACTTTTGTAAAAAAAAAAATTAAAAAGATGTTATTTTTGGAAGGTGACGGTTTTCAAAGTATCTCAGCAACTCTGTGGTTGTCCTTCACCACATGTATCAAACTTGAGGATCCGGAGCCAAATCCGGTCCACCATCGTTTTTAATGTGGGCCTCCAGACTCTATAGAGCCACATTAACAGAACTTTCGAGATACAACTTGTGTGCTTAAATATTATTTTATCAATAAAAAAAAAATCTAAGGAGTTTTATATGTATACTGCCAAATTACATAGAAAGCTTTTCAATATTATTTAATTTCAAAAAATTTTAATTGAATGCAAAGAAATATATTAATATTCTAACAATCTGTTAATAATCATCAACACTGCTATAGCTGACAACCAGCTCTTTAAGGACATTTATGATCTTGATATGAACCTAAAAGAAAACGAGCTTGACACCCCTGTCTTACACCATTTTATCTCTGGACAATTATATTCTGAAATATTAATATTCTTTTGGGCAGTCAATAAATGCCACAGAGTCACATATAAAGTTACATCTTGGCTTCTCACTTGTTCAATACAAGATAGCTTAGAAGTTAGCTAAGAATTTAACTACCTTTCACTTTTATTTATTTATTTATTTTTTTTTTTTTTTTCTAAAACATGACTCAGACTGCACTGGAAGCTTTTCCAGCTTTGTGAAATCACTGTGAGCAGTTTTAACCTTCGAGCTATTTATAACAACCCGCACGATGCAGAAAGCTGTGGACAAAAAAAGCTGGATATAAAAAAGCCTCCCTGCTGACATCAAAGACACATTAGGCACCACCTACCTAAACTCCTGGGCACAGCCGGCGGGCGCCGAGTGGGAATGTTGCAAGGGTACGACGGTGGCAGCGAGCGCATGGCTGCCGAGGGCACCGGGGCCACTTTGGGCGGCGGTGGTGGAAGGGTGGTTGGGCAGCTTGGGGTGAAGGACGTCGGTAAAGGCGGAGGTGGAGGTGGAGGAGGTCCCAGGGGGCTATCACGCAGAATGGGGAACCTGGACGGTTCAGAGAACGGAGGTGGAGAGTAGAAGAAGTAACCTGACGAGCGGTCTGGGATGGATGAAGGAGGCGGGTGTGTGAGTGGGGGAGGTGGAGGAGGAGGAGTCGATGGCTGGGGCAAGGACGTGTGGTGAGAATGTTGAACAGGTAGCCATGTTGGCCTGGTGACCTGGGACGGAGGGGGAGGAGGCGGGCAGGAGGGAAGGGAAGGAGGTTTGTTGGCTGGTCGCTCGGCTTGATGCGGCGGAGGAGGGGGAGGCACAGATGGAGGGGCGGGCGGAGGCGTCGGGGGTGAGGACGCCGGGAAAGGTGGCGGGTGCTTGCTGCCGTGAGAGGGGGAGGGTGAAGCAGAGGCGGAGGAAGTGAGAAGACGCTGGAAGGAGTTTTGGATCTCTGCAGTCTTGGGAGACTCTGGAAGGCTGCTGGAGTCCGCCGATGTAGGAGCGTTCCACTGAGGCCTCAAGGAGGCAGAGGAGCTCGACCGAGACACTTCACAGGATACAGACAAACAGGAACCATAGTTAGGCTAATACAGTAAACAAAAAAATAGTTTGTTGAGGACAGGGGTATGTTGAACTCACCTGGGGTCTTGCTTGGTAAGTCTCTATGACCAATAGGCCTGAGAGTGGGAAACCCTGCAGCAAACAATCCACCTAGAGAGGGCCCTGTGGGACCAATCCCAGCTGATTGGTTTTGAGAAGAGCCAACATCTCCTGTGTTAGTCTTGGACTCTATGAAAAAAAAAAAAAAACCCACATTAAATACATTTGATTAGTAACAATATGTCAATGGTGGTCATCAAATTGAATCAAAATAATAGAAGAATGAGGTTAAAATGATGAAACTGATACTTCGGGTTAGGTCAGTGAATTAACATCCACCTACTTACATTCTTTCGGGTGGATTGAACCGCTAACTGTTTGGCTGTCACTTCATATAAATTATTATAAGATCTTTAAGAAAAGAAGACCAGAAGCAGGGAGATTATAAATCACATTGTCTGTGTTTTATTAACCTCCACAGGGATTCCTCCCTGAAGGGTAACAGGGTCCAATTTGTGTGCATGTGTTCAAATATAGATCACAGACACACAACATTGACACCCCACACCTCAGCTCCCCCTTTGACCTACATAATCTTCTCCCACACTCTCATCTTTCATGCCCTTCTCGCTAGAAGACATCACACCAGGGCGTTTTAAAATAGACTTTTTATCAAATCTCCACATGATTAGACGATACGGTTCAGGGACTTACTATCAACTGCAGGGGCGCTCCGGTCGTTGACCTGTGTGACTTTCCTGAGCTTGGCGCCTTTCTGGATGTCGGCCAACAGAGCATTTCTCCCTCCTCCTCCGCCAGACTGGAGCTGAGGAGGCTCCAAAGGGCACTACGTTACAACAGGGGGAAAGAACAAGTATCAGTCATTTCTATTACGTTATTGTAATTTATGTCACAAACGAGAGGGAAAAAAAGTTCCTCACAATATTTATACCACTTGATATGTTTTCTTTTTTGTTGTTTTACATTCTCGTACCACAGGCAACAATCATTTCTGTTAAGATTCAATGTGATAAAAACTTAGAGTAGTGCATAATAAAAAAAAAAAAAGTGCTTTTTTTATTCGGTAGATTTCAATCTGTAGAATCACTTTTTAGTGACATCTGCAAGTCTTTTGGTGTGTGCCTCTGCCAGCTTCACACACATGGATACTGACATTTTTGCCAGGTTTTTTGCAAAAATACTTTCAGCTCAGTAAGATCGAATAGAGAGAGCCTGTGATATTTCAAGTCTTGCTACCAGAAATTCTCACTCAGAGTCAGATTTGGACTTTGGGTGATTCTGAGATATAGTTACAGAATCTCTGACCTCTCAGGTCTCCACAGAACAGCTGCATTTATACCGACACTCAAACAGAGCAAAGGGAAGGTGACTTAAAATGCATGCCACACTTTTCAGAGTTCCACTTCATAACCATGTACTACTTTATAACATTTAATCTACCCCAAGCTGCATTATTATTCTGGTTGTGACGTACCAACATTTGAAAAAGATGACATAAGTACTTATTCATAGTACTGTAAATCTAAATGATTTCTTATTAGATCTTTTATTTTTTTTATTTTATGGCTATATTCCAGTCCGTATAATCAGTTTTTTATGCTAATTTATAAAAGTACACTGCAAAAACATAAAATCCTACCAGGCATTTTCAGTCTCTAGTGCAAAATATCTTAGTACTCTTTAAATAAGATAAAACTAACTTACAAGTTACCTTTCAGTAAAAAAATATGAGCTTGATTTAAGTCAATAATCATTTAATATTAATGAAAAAATTCTAGTTATATGGAATAATCTGAAAGCAGAATAATACATTTTTACAATAATATAACTTTATATTATATTATACTATATTAGTAACAAAAATTACTTGTAAATTACTTGTAGCTAAGATTTTGTGTTTTTGCAGTGTGTCGAATTATCTTCCTGTAAACTGCTAATTAATGGACACACAGGAATCAGAAGAAATAAAAAACAAAATGAACTGAGGGAATATTTTTTTATGATACATTTCCACACCACTTGTCTTCCCCCTACGCAGAGAAGCAGGAAAACTTGAGATCACTGAGCTGTTTCTTCAGTTTGCTCCATGCATCAGCTCATTTAAAACAAGGACGCTGTGGAAACACAACACCTTCCTGCCGGCCAGAGTCGCCTCTTTGTCCAGTTGTCTGCGTGCTTGCGTGCGTTGCTCAATCAATAATGCAAAAGCCGCCTCCAGGTATCGGTTATACGCATGTGAGCGTTTACAAATGGATGAGGAAGATCTAGAGGTAGACAGGCTCACCTGCGGCAGGGCGGCGGAGGGGGGAGGCGGCGGCGGGGGGCCGGGTGGAGGCGGCGGGGGACCTGGGGACGGCATACCGAAGATTCAGATACCTGCACAAGAGAAACGCACGCTTTATCACCACAACTATTTTCTTCCAGCGTGGCTACTGGTGATGTTTAGATCCCGTTTTGTCACCATGGACTGCCACTGTGTGGAAGGGGGCTTCATCTGATGACCTCCTGGCCTTTCTTCCTGAACAGGAAAGGCTGTGCAGCACAAAACAGGAAACAGAAAGCAACTCCATCCTCTCTGCAGAAACCTGACACAACTCTCCGCCTCCCATTTAACTCTTCTTCCCACAATGCTGGGCTTGAGACGGGAACAATGGGGAGCGTTGTGTGAAAAGTACTAGACCCCTAGCCGCTAGTCAATGTGTGACGAAAGGTTCTCGGTGCAGCTACTGGATGGAAAACACATCGAGGAAAGACCAGAGGAAGAGGACCTGCACTGTTCAAACATATTGTTCTTTTTTTTTTTCTTTTTTTTTTTTCCTGAATATACTCAGGATGTCTTCTAAGGTCCAGGATGGTGTCAGCAGGTTCCAACCAACTTTGGTCCTGCAAAAGCCTCTACAGCCGCTCAGTGACAAACACTGAAAGCATCCTGACGTTTTTGCACACTCATCCCCTCTGTGGAATTTGCTCCTGCTCCTCCTTAGCAATTTAATAAACGCTGAACAGGACCTGTATTGTTGCTAAAAACGAAGCTCCCTTGTCCCCCCCCCGTGTTTACATGTGCCCAGTTCATGCTTTGGGAGTTTGCAACCTGGCAGACTGTCCGCCGTTGCTATTCCTGTCTTTATAACGGTCTCAAGGATCTTCTGTCCTGTTTAGATTTATTAGAGGGCCAAAAGCCGGACACCCGGGTCTGCCGAGCTCTGGTCGAGCAGGTGCTGCAGAGAGCGCACGTACACCGTCTCCACCAGCCTTTGTTACCTTTCCCCCCGAAGGTTGTTTGGCCTCCTTGAGGCAAAAAGGAGCTCATGTGACTCCAGACAAGTAACTGGAACTGCTTGCAGATTAAACCGGAATAAGGAGCATTTTGATGACACACACAACACGTTGCCTTTAGAAGAAGTTTCTTTCCGCTGCGCTCTAATCAGTAATGGAAACATTTGCACAAACATTCTTCGAAGCTGTGAAACAGTGAAGGAAGGGAAGATAAGTTGCTCCTTTTTGACATTTTAAGCGGGAAGACAATGAAAAAAGGAAAGAAAAAGTGAAACCCACAGCCATCTGAATAGCTAAAAGTTATATTTAATATCATATAATACTCAGTTTTGAAAAACAAATGTGTTCCGGCAAATAGTAACAAACATTTACGTCAATGCAGCAGATAGCAAACACTAGATTTCAGCAAGACAAACAACCAGGGTCAGTGTTAGCCAGAATGCATAGATCTACATTCATATCTTTTTGTGACTTATAGCCTCTGATATATGCTTGATTTAGTTTCTTGTGGGTCAAACCGTTTTAATTTTTTGTGACACCACCTAGTGCCTAATTTTGATGTGGAGGATACAAGTTCCATGGCTTTTGATTTGTTCATCAAATAAAAATCTGAAAAGGTGTGCCGTGCATTTGTATCCAAGTCTCTTTACTCTAAGACCCTTAAGAGGCACCGAAGTCCAGAAAATGTTAGAGAACAAACAGTTTCATAAGGACAGAAGAGCAGCTTGAGGAAGGGTTATATATGTCAAGCTGTAAAAATCTCAAATGCAAACATGCCCAGAGGTGGACGTCTACCTAAACTGACAAGCAAGGCAAGGAGAATATGAATCAGAGAAGTAGCCAAGATGCCAGTAGTAACTCGGCAGCAGCTGCAAAAATCCACAATTTAAACTATTAGTCACTCAATCCACAAAAATGGCCTTTATGGAGGAGTGGCAACAAAAACGTTAAAGGAACAGTTTGCTATCAGCCATGTAGGGAAATCTGCAAACATCTGGGAAAAGTGCCAGTAGTTACATGAGACTAAAATTCAACAAAATGTTAAACACTATTCTTGGCAGAATACAAAAACTGCTCATCACTTTCTAACTATGAAACATGGTTGTGGCAGCATCATGCTGCGGACAGGTCCACCTTCCAGCACGACAACAATCTTAAACATGTACACAGAGCAACAATGGGATGGGGAAAAAAAGGTGTGTTAGAATGGCTAGAATGTCAGACCTAATCAGACATATCTGAGACTGAGATATTTTGCAAAGCAGAACATACATAAATTTCAGTCTGCAAGTGTGAAGTTGAGCTCGAGACATATCCGTAAGCATCCTTGCTGCAGTAACTGCAGAGAAATGGGGGGGTTGGGTGAAAAAAAAAAACCCATTTAAAAAAAAAAAAAAAAACAAAAAAAAAACAATTTAAATCACGTGTCATTTTCATTTTACTTCACATCAACTCAATAATTTATGTTGTTCCATAAATATCCTGGTCTGAAACTGCACTAAGACTCGTGGCTGTGTGGCAAAATGTTGGACAATGAAAAAGGAGTGAATACTTTGCGAGGGACTGTAATTGTTGATTCACCTGGTGAGAAATAGGTGAATGGATTTGCAGATATGAATAATAATAATAATAATAATAATAATAATAATAAACATCCACTTGTTGCATAAAACAGTGTAAAAAGAAAGACTTTACCTTGTAAAAATAACTTTCCAGCAGAGACAGCTTTGGTGCCACAAAGATCAGCACAGTTGAGTCCTCATGGTGCTGATCTTCATAACGGGACTGTGACAAAGTTATTTTTAGTCAACACAGGCCAATAAGACGCCGCTGATCAAACGTACAATCCCATTTGGGTCCTATAAGCACCTGCAAACTCCTCTCCTCTTGCAGGAACTCTTAAAGAAACTTTTCTTTTTCTCTCATATCTACGGCCACCAGCTTGTAAAGCGCTGGTCCAGCTCAGCAGCAGCAGCAGCAGTTGCGGTTTATTTTCCCAAACGTGCTCTGCAGGAGCCTCACAGTGCCAAGCCACACCTTAACGCCACATAACAAACAAGCGACCAATGGTGAGGGAGAACGGTTTGTAGCTTTAAATAACACATGGACGGTAATTTAATCGATTTGAGGTCTAGTGCAGTGAGTGGAGATTACATTAATGTGTAAATTTTAGGAGTTTACAAATAGTTTTAAGCTCTCTTCCCCCGCGCTCACAACTGTGAGGTTGACACTTAAGCGCACAAGCTCGCCCTCTTGTGTTGATAAGACGCCATTGCACCTCTCAGTCACTCTAACATTCATCTCCAAGGAATCCAGCTCTTGTTTAACCTGTTGCACCTTAATTACTGTGAGATAGACTAAAAATATTGCTAATGGGATTGCAAAGAAGCGATCCTTCTTAAGTGTCGACACACACCTTAATGTTTAGCAGCTGCAGAGGAATGCAGCAGCACAGGTGAGGTCCTCCCTGAAGCATATAGGTTTGGCGTATGCTGCAGGGCCTGTGTGTGAACACTTTGTAAAACCTTGTTGCTTTTATAGGATTAAGTCGTACGACAACAATGGCTGACGAAAGGGCATTGTTTTGTTCTGAAAATTAGTTTTCCTTTCCGTAAAGCACTGTGACAAAATCAACAAAGAAAGCAAAACTAAACAAAAAACTTCTCCTTTAAATGTTCAGATTAAGACACTCATTGGATATTAACGCACAGACACACACACACACACCGGTAGAGTCAGCCGTTGCAGATTTATTTCTAATGTTGCCTTCGTGTCAAGCATTCACAGGTGATCAAAACTACACAGCTCCTTTTTTTAAATTAAAAAAAATATATATATCACATGTCATGTCTTCATCTGGATACCAAGAGCATATTGTTTACAGTAGAGGCAGCTTTGCAACAAACCTTGTAAAAATATGCCTGATTGAATTTAATCCTTCATTAAAATAGTTTCTGCTTTTTGCTGGTAAATGTCTGATTCACCTTCACTGGAATCCTTCAGACCGCCCAGAGTCAAACGTTTTACAAAAGTCTTGCAAAAACAAGCACTATCCTTCATCGTAGAAAAATTATTTGTAGCATTTTAACATTGTTTTTTTGTTTTTTGTTTGTTTTGCTACAAATATTGGAAAACATGTTTTTGAACATCATTTCAAAGAAGCATTTCACTTTTTTGAGAGAAAAACAGCTTTTGATTACTGCTTTTTTTTAGGAAAAAAAAGGTTATTGTGATTTGATGAACTGTAAAAAAAAAAAAAAAAAAATTAAAGAGCGAAAAACAAAATCAAGGTTTTAAAAAAAGTAGTTTCAAAACCATTCAAAAATATTTCCATCACAGAAGTTTCTGCTGTTCAGTGTCAGCTTAATGATGGCTTCTTTAGGTGAACCAATTCTGCCTTTTGGAAATATTTTAATTGCAAAAGCTAAAAACTAAAGAAGTCCCAGTTATCAACCTTAAGATATTGCTGGTTTAAACTACAGTTGGGGAAAAAAACCGTGGGACGGTTACTGGACAAGTCGCCAGTCCACGATGCGACGCTGTACATTTCATGATACCTTTACTCAATATTTTCATAGAGAGAAAATCCGATACCAGCCAACTGCTTCTTATACTTGTCCTTTGAATTGCGTTTGTGACATTTCATGTGCAAAACGGTTCAATAACCTTGATAAAAGCAAAACAAAACATAAGACATTTGTAACATAACCCTACAAAATGTCTTAAATCTCAAAAATATATTTGAACTCGTATTCAGAATTCTGCGTTATTGATATAAAACCCAGGTGAACATCATCCCCAGCACTCTGTACAGTACAATGCCTCATGAGACCAAAGCTCCTTCAGCTATTTAAATCCCACTCCTTCTTTTGAAGCAATACTGTGAAGCAGTCTTTTTTTACACACGCGCACACAGACAAACACACACACCCCTCTTCCCAGGGTCACCGTTTGTCCTCCCTCCCTGCCGCTGCGGCTTCCCTCCCCTTCTCCTCGATGGGCAGGGTCGATCGCGGCCTCCTCTTCTCCTTGAACCGACCCGAGCGGGAAACCTTCATGTTCCTGCGGCACGTCTGCTCGTTGAACACCGATTCCAGCTTGGAGTCGTCAAAGGTTTCGTCGCTGAGCAAGCTGGAGCCCTGCGCGGGGATGGTCTGGTCGGTGGTGGTGGCGGTCTTGGACGAAGAAGACGGGTCTTTCAGCCTGTCCGGTTGCTGGGCGAAAGGGTTGAAGTCTGGGCCCAAGCCGTAAGGATCCGCACTCTTTTTCTTTGGGATGAACACCTTCCACCATGGGACCTTCTCTGCCATCTTGAACTGGCGGTTGGGGCCTGTAAAAAAGATTGAAGCACTTTAAAAAATTTATTTATTTATTTTTAATGAACAAAACTTTGCAACACCTTTAGAGTTGGATTCAACATTTTCAACTCTATCAAAGTACATGCAATAATAAGAAGAAGAATGTTAACTAAAAGACACTGATGTGGCCTTTCCTCACCAAGAGAGGTCCTAGCTTTGATTCTAACAGAAAATGGAAAAAAAAATATAGGCAACAAAGCATTTATCCTTAGCCTTTATCTGATCCGTCTTAAACCTAAAACAACAGTGTAACAAAGTACATGCTGTTTGTTGATCTATTTATACACACAGAAGTGACGTGAGGGAGAGGTTGGAAAGCTCGAAATGATACAGCAGAGCAACTTTTGCTGTAATCTGTTCAGCCCTCCTGTTATCAGCTCTCACTCTCTTTTTAGCCTCAACAAACTCCCTGATAGGAATTACCGTTTCTCAACATGTAGCAAGCACAGTTTCCTGATAAAATGGCAATTTAAACACCTCATTGATACCAAAAGTATCAGTGAGTCAGGTAACGTACGGGACTTGAAGCAGAATTTGATTCGGGGCCCCTCTTGTCAAGATCATCCCATAAAGACGATTCTTTGAATCTTTCACAAAGTGAATTTACTTTAAAGCATGTACGTTTTAAAAACTTGTAATTTATTAATGCTGAAACCGTCAGAGTGAATTTAATAGAATACTCATTCTCAATAAAAAAAAATCATGCAGATTCTTCATATATGATGGCTGGTTTCAGGGCCTTAAGCAGTGGCTTGGTTTGCTCTGCCTTGGGCAAGCTCTGCTTTGAGTAGCTTCACATAGCTGCAGTATCTGCACTGAAGAGTTCTGCTGCCAACCTTGTGTGTTCACTTACCTGAAAAAGATTGATTTATTGTCTGTACTTATTCATAAACATACACTCAGATGGTGTACTCAATTTACTGACAGGAATAGGTGAGTTTATTATTATTATTATTAAAAAAGACATTTCACTTCTTGACTTGACTGCAGATCATCTGATCCAAGAAAAAAAAAAATTGGCCAATTCCGAGTCGTGAGCCGGTTGATCGGTGCATCTCTACAACTTTGAAACATCTCTGATATTTTACTTCACTGCCAAATAATCACCTTTAAAAACACAATAAATCCCACGTAAAGGTCATTCGACACGTCTACATTGGAATATTTTCGGTTTCTGGGCCAAAGTTTCACCAGCTAATCCCATGAATAACCAGTGGAGCCATATTTAGCCTCTCTGTAAAACTGGTTTATTGAATCGTGAGAACAGAAGCGCAAATCAGTGTGAATCAGATGTCAAGAATATGCATAGGATGAGAAAAAGTACCGGTGCTCTCTTACCTGAGTTGTGGGAAAGAAAGATGGTAACAGTTAAAGGGAGTTGGAGCTGGGCAAATTATATTATTAACAGTCCTAAGATATCTCCAAAGCTTTTAGGACGCCGTGTCTTTTTTCTTCTTCTTCTTAGACCACAGACCTAGAATCAGAAGTGACAACAATCCTTCAAATGGTCGATGAGCAATCCATTTTCAAGCAGAAGACACTTCAAACACCCCGCACCAAACACTTTGTATGGCTTTTATTGTCGCTCTTGCCAAACAGTTCGCTTGCTTTCTAAACCGGTCTTCGGTAAAATGGACTTACATATTTATAAGAAGCAGCGTAACCTCCTCTGAACCGACACGTTTCCGCCCGAAACTTCGTCCAGCAGCACCTGTTCTCGCTGCCTATTGGCTGAGCCCAGCGCGTCACCTCAGAACAGCCCAGGTGAGTCCGGAGCGGCTGTGGGTGGGGCTTTATGGTTGCGTGGCAACATACCCCATGGGAGCTCGAGTCTCTTCCGCGGCAGATAACGCATAAAAAGGACTCCTTTGTATCAGGTTAACCCAACCCAAGCCGCGGAGCCAAATTATGTTTAGGCTGTTTCTCACCATACAAAGGAGTGGAGCAGGGGCGGTGGGAACTTTATTCTTTATTCAGCAGGGGTTGTATTATCTACTCTAGATAATAATAATAATAATAATAATAATAATAATAATAATAATAATAATAATAATAATAATAATAATAAAAACAACAGGTAACACTCATCTACACGGATGTAAAGCAGGTGTTAGTATTAAAATCATTGCAGAAAGATGCCAAAATTAGCCGTGATATCAGTTTTTATCTCTATAAGTAATTATTCTATAATTTATTTCTATTTCATCTGTATGTAGAAACTGTCTCGCTGTATGGCAAGTGACCAGGAAACACTGCGGCAGTAATAGACGACAACACCAAACATAATCTGCTGCTATCTTAAGGATCTATAAAAGATACTGCTTCCTGATTGTAGCTGCAAATATAAACTCACAAAACAAGCATTAGCGTACAATACTCTCACATGATACCAGTGTGTAAGTAATTTAATGTTTAAGATCATTTGTGTTTCCCAAACTATTATTTTAGGATGTTGTCATTTTATTTTCAAAAACTGTGAATACATTTTTTAAAAATATAAATTCAGTAATGTCCGTATCAGATATTCCATATCGGTTGATCACACATGAATGATCATGTCTTTTCAAAGCAGATAAATAAATATTTTTTATGCATATATTTGCAATGTTCTTTGTTTCTGTGTGCATTGTCTGTTTTTGGGCCACTTAATGGAATTGTGATTGTAATTGCAGTGTCAAATGTGTGGAATAGTGCAACCAAACTATTTGGTTGCAACATTTATGGCCTATTTTAGGTACCATACCTGTATATATATCTGTAGGTCTTTTTACATCTCCTAGAAGTGATCCTACACTGTTAAAAATTGTTGACCTTGGAATCCCTGAGTGGTTTCTGTCTGTTTGGGTTGTTGCCAACAGGGAGTACCAGAAGAAACCCAGACACAGAGGGAGGAGGGAGGAAGACAGGGAGTCCCTTTTTGTCTCTCTCTCTCTGTTTCTCCCCTTAAGTGAGAGTGAAATTCATGGTTTTGGTACCAGGAATGTGTGCCATTGGCGCTGCTTCCCGGTGACAGGCGGTGGCCTGCATACCTGGGGACTCATCTAGACAAAGGTAGACATGGACGCACTTCAAAAACATCAATATTTTAACAATAAAGACAGATAATATGTGAAAGAAGAAGAAATTTAAGAATTGAAAGTGACTGAATAAATAATTATTTATAAAGTGATGCCCTTAAAGATCTTGTAGAATTGCTTAGGGTTTACTTTAGCATTTAATACTAAAAAAAACTATTTTTTCCTACGTTTTGCACCTTAAACCAATATAAAATTATCCTTCTGCAATTTTGCATATTTTTTGTCGTCTCAGTGTCACACTTTAAAATTTTGCTGCTGCAAATCTGCGTCTCCTTTCACATGATGCAAAAATATTACAGTTGGTTTCACTTAAGATTGATCATTAACTTTGACTGCATCAGACAGAAAAAAAAGCATCAATCCAAGACCTTTTAGATAAGAATCCACATAATAAATATTACCTCATTATGACAGCAAATCTTACGTTGAGCCCATTTGTTCTGTATCAAGGAACACTTTTAAAAGAGAGTCCACTGAAACGGACAGAAGCATGTGGAGAATGTGTGTCGAAAGCTTGGCGATTCCATCGAGAGATTTTGAAACAGTGCCCTGAATTGCGAAAGCTCTGTCCTCCATGTGCGTTTGTTGCTGTACCTGGAAACAGGTGTCTTTCTGTCAAAACAAAAGTACACACAGAACCAGTCTCACACAAGGTGTGGAAAAATAGGAAAAATGTGGTTTCACTTCCTGTCTAAAACGCTGGTTGAGATTTGTAACAAGCACGATTGAAAATCTGGTTTGTTGAGGGAGGGGGAATCTAATTGTAAAATTATTAATTAAAGATTAAATTATTCTGGTATTATCCTTCATGTTTTGCAGTTGGAGGTGGCGAGGAAAATGCGGAAGACCCAGGTTATGGAGAGCAAATGAAGATTTAATGATGAAAATGCAGAGATCCAGGCAGCACAGAGTGAGTAGAGCTAGAAGCTAATCTTTGGTAGCAACTAGTAAACAACTGACAGCAGACTTGATAACTAGAAAAGGACCAGACCAGGAACAAGGAACACAGGTGGGATTAAATACACAAGAGGGTAATCAGGGAAATGACACACAGCTGGGAACAATCAAAGGGTAGCCAGGAGACTCAATAGACACAGAAACCTAAATGAATACACAGAAAAAAAAAACAAATCCTTACATTATCAGAACATTCTTGTATGAATACTGTTGTTAGATTTCAAACAAATGTCTAAGAATATTTTATGTTTGCTATATTTCAGAAAAATCTTTACGTTGATGTGTAAAATAAGAACAAAAGCAGTGTTATGATCTAGTAACGGCTCAAGTTCTGGATGCAGCACCGAACCTGTGCAAGAACTTCTGTGGAAAACCCCTTTGTGGTTATGAGTCGCAGAGTTGCAAAATACATCAGCCACAATATGTTATAACTGATCAATACAGCTCACTAGAGGCGTCCCACAGGGGTGTGTGTTTAACCCTATTATCTTTGAACAACTTCAGCCAAAACTTAAACTTCAGTATACTTTTAGGTTAGAACAAGGCTTAATAAACGTGGATCATTTGATTCAAAAATGTGGAGGCATTATTTGGTTCTTGGCTCCACAAAGTCAACCAAAAGCTTTAAAAGAACGAAGTACACAGGAGAGGTACCGCGTATTGTTACTATAGTACCTTTCAGGAAGTAGTCATCCGCCATAAACTTTTCACATTTTGTCAAAAACACACTACTAACTTCAATTTTAATAGGATTTTCTGTGGTAAACCAATCCAGAGCAGCACACAAGTGTGATGTTTGCAGAAAGGGAAACATGGTTTTCAAAATCAGAACTCTTCACTCAAAGATTGCAGTGTTGTCATTCATTTATTCAGACCCCTTTAATCTGAAGACTCTAAATAAAATCCAGTGAAACCAAATACCTTCAAAAGTACACCTAGACAGACAAAAGTCTACCTGAAACAAATTGTTCTGTGACGACCTTTGAAAGTTGTAAGAGAAGATTAGTGACCAAACGTTAACATAACAGACCAAATCAGACAGGTCAGAGATAAAGTTGTGCAGAGAATTACAGGAGGGTTGGACCAGAAAATGAGATGAGAGACTTTGAACATCTTTTAGATTTCACACACTGTTTCCCAAACATGAAGGGTACTTTATAATGACAAACTACCAAGTAGGGATGCGCAATATAGGATTTTTGTTCAATATTCGATGTTCCGATATACTAAAAACTCATTTATCCGATAACCAACACCAATATTTTTTTTTCCTATGCCTTCTTACTGAAACTGTATGGCTTTCTTTACTGTGGAATTAAAATATTGCATTATCTTTGTAAGTTTAGCCTGTTACCAAATGTAAATGCTTAAAAGGAGTCTGAAAACGATGAAACACTTTCGACTTGCCTTACGTTCAATGCCAAATTTATTCATGACATTTGCTCTCTCTAAGGCAATGACAACACTCAAACACTGCAAATGTGACGTTGTGCTGTGGTGCAGGCGTCATTGTCATTGGTTTGCCATATAAAAACAATGCCTTATCGATGAGTTATTTCGATAATAGCCGATGTCCTATCTTAAATTTTACAGATAATATCGGCCGATACTGATACCATGCCGATAAAATCGTGCGTCCCTACTACCAAGACGAAACCTTTGTGATTGATAGAACTCTAAAGGAGATCATTGATGAAAGAAGTGGCAACAAGTCCCATTGTATTTCTGCAAGAGCAGAAGAGATCTTCAGCTCAGACAGGATAAGCTGTCAACAGTAGCACTATTATTCACTATTATTATTATGGCTTTTATTTGAGAAATCACCAGAGAAAAAAATTGTAAAAAATCCAGAGAGGGTTTGCAACAAGTCATTTAGAACAAATAATGTTGGCTTTCTCCACAGTTATGCAGAACTTTCTGGATATATTGCATAAAACGTCCAAAAATTGCATTGAAACTGGTTGATAAAATGTTAAAAAGCTCTAACAAGAATAGTTCTTCAAATGTGCAAAACGGACCCGAGCTGCCTTGTGTCACAAGCTGAAGTGCACCTAAGATGAAAAGAGCTTCCTCATCATGTCTAAGGTGACCTGAAGTCTAAAGTGGATTTACTGTTGGCAAATATGAACACATCACAACAGAGACAACAACATGCCCTTTTCCCTGTTTGAACTGCTGCCACCCGAAGAGCAATTAGTGCAACCTGAAACAATTTTTCCTTCAGAGCTGCAGCCTCACACCCTTCTTACAGAAGAATGAAAAGTAATTTTGAGCATACGCGTACACTACAAGAACAGAAATTCACACAAGAACAAGTACATGTACTAGGAGAACTGGTTGGTACATTCTATCCTAGTAAGAAGCTATTATGGGATCACTTGTTTTTTGATAAATGTGCGGGAGAAGGCACTATTGTACTTTTTGCAAAGGAAAAATATATATTTGTTTAATTATTTTTTGTTATCAGTGTTATCATCAAAGCAAGTCAGTCCACAAATGAAGCTATTGACATTTCAATGGATAAATGATTGAAAAAGTACTAAACACAAAGGAAGGGATGTACTAAAACAATGCATAGAAAGCCAAGAAACCAGCTGAAATATGTCAGCATTTAGAAAGCACCCCTGCTTCTATTTGCAAATGAATGTCGTCTCGTTTGGTAATAACTGACTGCCATTGACTAACAAAGTAATAAAAAGGGTGATACCATTTACAAAAGCAAAGATACCTTCACAAAAAAAAAAAAAAAAAAATCTCATAGTGATCAACATTAAACTCATAATCCGGAAGTGGAAAGAAGATGGGACGCATAAGTCAAAAGAATTTTCTAAAAAGTTGTCTGTATTCTGCTTCAGACAGACCTGGGATTAGCGGGTACAATTTGTGAAAATAATCAGAAATGCACTTAACCACAACGGCCTACCTTCAATGCACAAGAATCCATTGCTGAAGAAGAAACATTTTAGAGGTTGTTTAAAGTTTTCTGCAGAAGCAAGACGATGAAATATTGTGAGAACATAGTCAAATTAAAGCTAAAGTCTTTTGATGTCGTTGCACAGACCACGTTTAAAAGGAGATCAGCCTCCATGTCACGAAACAAACGCCAAAAAATAAAGACTGCAAGGGTAGGGTGTCTTCCAGCTTATGATTGCTAGCTTACTTCATAAAGCTGAAGGAAAAATTAAAAAAGCATTGATATACCAACTTTTTACATACATATTTTTCATTAATTGTCCCCAACAATGGAAAATGCCATTGTGCCTTCCTGTACAGAAAACTGTTGCAGAGGTCATTGCCTGAAATACATTGAAACGTGATGTCACCCATTCGAGTGTGTTAAAAATATTTATGTTGACTCACAAGCGCACAGACCAAGGCACACGAATCTGCGTAAAGGCTAGTTTTGTGATGACGCTGATGCGTTTGCATCACGCCTGGGACAATCGCTCGTGACGAGAGCAAGGTGTCTGTGCATAGCTGAAAAAAAAAAAATCTCTTCTTGTCACTCTGAAGTACTGGCTAACAGGTTGAACAAAGTTGTGCTGCTCATGGGAAAGAAGGCAGGAAAGGCAGCCAGTTGGACTGGTAGAGTCAGCTGGGAACAGAACAAGCCCAGTGAAGGAAGTGAGCAGCTACTCTTCCTAAGGACGGCAAAAACATCAACATGGCTCGCTCACTTTTTACAAGAACTCAAACCTGTTAGGACTTAATGACAACTTTCTTATATGCGAACTCCTTTTTCCCCCCACACCAACGGCAACAGGGGTCGAGTTGTTCTTGGTGTTGGTTAAACAGTTCCCATGCAGCTCTGAAACAGTTGCTTCCTCCAGAGCACTTGGGTGGAGCAAACCACAATCTGTCTTAATGGAATGAGTTTAATCTCTCTAATTGTCTTTTTAATTTCAGGATTGTACTGTTTGACAGGTTTTCTTCAGGGCTTTCTTGAAAATATGAAACCTGCATATTGAGACTGACCTGTGATTAGTGCAGGGACAGAGGAAGAAAACTCGCAGGAATGCAGAAAGGAATCTTAACAGTTGCAAGCCTTTCCTTTCTGTGTATCTGCTGAGTTTCTATTAAATGTTGTTCTTACTAAAGTGATACAGAGAGACTCGCTGAGATATGCAGACAAACAGCTCTACTATACACCCACATGCATGCATGTGACACAGTGTTCTTCTGATTGAAAAATGTATTTCTTTGTGCGATTCACTATGTAGAATTAAAAGTTTTTAACAATTATATCATTTCAAGTACAGGTTCATAAAGCTGTCTTGACTCAATAGATTTATTGTCTTTTTGCACTAAAATGCTGTCAGGTAACTGATAGAGACATAGACATTAGATCTATGTATTTATTCATTTATTTATTTCCAAAACTGACATATTTCAGTTAGGTTTTGTTTGAATATTCAAAGTATCTTGCGGAAATATTTACATTTCCCACATTTGGTCATTTCACAACTACAAATTTCAATGTTCTCCTTATTGAGCCCTCTTTATGCTGATGCCCATGAATGAAATTCAATGCTGGCGATTACGAAAACCGGAAAAGCAGCCAAGAGACCCATATGTTAACTTTGGAGGAGATGCAGAGATCCACAGTTCAGGTGGAATAATCTGTGGACTGGACAACTATTAGTTGTTCACGCCACAAATCCGGCCTGTATGGAAGCCTGGAGCCTTTCATTCACCTTTCAGTGCCAGAACTACAACAGCACATCTCTCTGCTCTGGCAATAAAAGGATGTGACCCAGTCAAAGTACAGATCTGGAATCTGTGGTAAGAATCATAAATTGACGCTCATGGACGTTTTTTATCCAATCTGACTGTGCAGTTTGCAAAGAGGAATGATTAAAAGAAATTAGATGTAAAACTTTAATTGTACAGAAACATGGTTCTGCTAACTGTGCATACCATGAGATCCCAATAAAGAGATTTGCGATTGTAAAGGCACACCCTTAAGCACAGCATAATACCTAGTTTTAAACATAAAAATCTTTCTGAGTAAGCAGCTGGCTTTCTCTGTAGTTTGATAATACACATTGCCATTTTTACCATTTGTACCACATTGTGTGTGTAGACACTTAAGTATGAATCTTACAATGATAGCTCTAGAATTAATAAAAAAAACTTCACTATTCCTAAATAATTCAAAATGCTAGGAGTTTTCTGTGTATTTTAAATCTTTGGAGTTTAGGAAACATTATTTCCTGGCTGTGGCATTACGCATGTTGAAAGCGGATTGTTTGGGTTTGTAATTCCAGACTGGTTTCTGTCTCTGTTTCGTTGCCAACAGGGAAGAGCCAGAGAAACCCAGTAACGCAAAGTAAGGGAAAAAAAAAGAGAGAGAATCAAGGAATACTTTTTGCATTTCTCTCCTTTGAGTGAGAGTGAACAATCTCATCATTGCACCAAGAGTGTTTCACTCTTTTTTTCTTTGATCAATTGTTTCTGTACAAACACATAATGCAAGAGATTTTTCTTTAGAATTTTACCTCTTCTAAATCTGACCTGTGACTACATGGATACATTAATTTCAAAAATATTTTTCAACTCAGTTGCGTCTCTACGTTTGTGTCTGTATTGCTGACTGTTTTTTTTTTTATATTACAATTAACTTTTCTGATGATTTTAGAACTGTTTGTCTGATTGGGGTTTAAAGTTTTGAGTCTTCTTCCACAAGCGTTTCTTTCCTTCTGACAGAACTGGTGTAACTGAGTTGTATTTGTAGACTGAATGGCTCAAACACACCTTTCTGCTCGACCTACACATTTTCAATAGGACTGAGTTCAGGGCTTTGTGTTGACCAATCCAGAACATTGACTTTGTTTTCCTTAAGCCACACTTAAAGCCCACAATAGATTTAAGGTTAATAGAAGGCTTGGCAGTATAATCAAAAAAATGTTTAAATGAAAAGAGTATACATTCAGCATCTTAAAATATCTCTAGAATTTTTGCCTTTAAGGTTGTGGTCACGGCATACTGTTAGTTTACCACAAGATGGAGCCAAAAACACAACAAGTGCCATGTCAAACGTTTGTTATGACAGAAACAACACAGAATCATCAAACGTACTCTTTAAAGGGATCTATGTAATAATTTTCCAGTGTCAGTGTCAGCTGGGAGATGAAAACTTCTCTGAAGTTCACAAAAATACACAAATATTTTTATTTTTTTTTTATTTATTTTTTTTTAGATGAACACTCGAGAAGCACACTGAGAAATGCTCTCAGTGTGCTACTTATTCACTCATGATGAGCATTATATTTTTAAAGCCAGATATCCCAATGTTCTCTCTACATGTTTACATATATTCTAAAAAGAAATAATAAATATTTACAAGGTGATAACATTGCAAACCAAGCTGGTCTGGTTGTCAAAAAGTGCTGTACTGGGAATATACAATGGACTTTTGAATGCTTTTGATGACAGCAGCTGCTTTTTATGTCAGGGAATGACCCAGCGCAACAAAACAGGAACATATTAGGTTTCACTCGCTGAACAATGAGCTGAAAGCTACTGAAATGCTACAGTTTCTCCATGGAGAGCTACAATCCTCCATAAACCTCTTCCTGGTCTCTTACAACTTGGATTTTAATGATCACATGCATCTGCCCGTACTTTATTATAGTTTGGACTGAACTGAACTGGATCTGAATCTGGCTATTTGATTATATTGTAGTCAATTCTCACCATGTTAGATATTATTTAATTAGATATGAATTGAAGATATTTTTCTTCTTAGGTAAACAGATGTGTGAACTGAATTGGTTTTAATTTAATTTAAATGGAAACCACCAATATATACTTCTTCAAATGTTAATCTGTCTGTATTTGTGCCATTATCTCCGCTTGGACTGACATTTGTTTCAGTATGGCATTAACTGAATCTCAGATTCTACCTCGTCACACAGTTAAAGTTACAAATACAACACGCCATTTGGCCAGAGGAGGGCGCTGCTAAACTCAATGCCAGGTGTTTCAACGCTCCGAAGAAGTGAGCTTTCCCAATGAAACTTGTGTCATGTAATTCTAACATGCCGAAGGTTATTACTGTTGTAGTGGAGAAATATATGACCTGAATTTGTGTGGAATACGGTTTGGCGTTGTTTAGGTAAGAACATTAACCGAGCTTCTATCTACCAGAAACAACAGAGCGGAATAAAAACCCTGCTTTAATGCAGCTTTAGCTAGTTAGCTTACTCCAAAGAGGTCACACCAAACTCCATTTAGATTTATCTCATTAGTACAGAATGTTGTTTTACTTCCATTTTCTAGGTTTAAAAGTAAACATTTTGTTATTGTTCTTACAACCTGGTAATGTGAAAGGGGTATCGGCTGATTGCTAGTACTATTTTAAGCTAAAAGCAATACATTTTAAGGTAGATTGTCTTATTGTAGATAGCCTTTGCTTCAGTTTAAATTTTGTAGATTTCATAATCAGCTCCTCAAATAAAACCTAAACGAATGCAAAATAAAAAAGGTTTACTTTAACACCGTTAATGTGTGACTCTCAGCAGTTTTGACAGTTTTCGGCTTTTCCAGATGTTGTTTGTTCTGACAGGAAGCCGGGTAGCGATGAGCGCCCCCTGCGGGTTAATTTGCACCGCTGCTCGACGCTTCGCCCGGCAAAGTCCTGCTGCTGCTCCGCTGTGCAGGCTGCTGCTGGGCCCCGGGTTCTCAAACAGGTGAGTCTGCTCTGCTCTTTTTTTGGTTTGGCTGAAATTCAGTGGGGACCCCTTTGCTAATAACCTTTAGTCACTAGAAAAATGAATACACAAATACCTCCAGAAATGAGAATGTCATTAAAATGTGTATTTCATGAATTAAATTCAAAAGGGGAAATTTGTTCAGTTTTTATGTAGACTGATTATTTTAAGCATTTATGTTATTGTTGATGAGCATAGGCTACCACTAATTAAAATGTTAAATTCAGTCGCTCTGAAAATTAGAATAAATATAGAAATGACTACTAATACGGATATTTAAAGGCGTAACAGTCATGGGGGGAGACTTGACTTGGTGGGTAAGCCACTAAAATGTGTTTGCCAACTAAGCTGACGGTTTACAGAGTGCCATATCCCAGCATGTTTATGCAAATTGAGTGGAAGGAAAAACTGGCAGAAAATAAAGCAAAACCAACAGGGTTTACTGCAGCCTTTAGATGGTTGTGACTCACAAGACATGGTCTCCTCCAGAAGCATAGACATCAGAGGCACCTTACCTGGACTAAAAATAGCATTGTATTTTTTTTTTTTTTTTAGGTGGAAGAGAATTTTTATTGGAATTAATATTGGTCCTAGAAAGTACAGGAGGAGTGGAGAACCTTACTTTTTGTAGGGTAAATTTAATCTAGATTAAATCATTTTTCACAACTAAAATAGAAAAGGTAACAAAGGTAACAAACTATATCTAAAGTAAGTTTGGTTGACTTGTCCACTTTACCCCACATTTTGCCTGTATGACGTATAGCAATAATAAGTTAATTGATTGAAAAGTAGCGTTAGCGCTTAGCTCGTCTCCATTTGTGCACATGAAATCTTGAGATAATTTGGTGTATTTTGTGTGCGCTTTCCTGTTCAGTGTATTGTCCTTTATTGACATTGAGGTCAAACTCCAAGCCTCTTTTTTTTTTTTTTTTTTTTATACAAGTGTTCACTGTATAGCTTCAGGTTCTTTGCACAAACTATTTTCTAACTTCTTTTTCATCTCTATCAGAAGAAATATGTCCTCCAAAAAACAAACGGACCACTTGGAGAGGACAGCGAGCAACTACAGACAAAATGTAAGCTCTGCTTTGAAGACAGTCGTGTGGAATTTGTAGTAAAAAGCTGTCCCTTCCTCATTTTATTGATGTGTTTTATTTGTCTGTCTGTTTGTTTGGATGCCTGATGTAGGCGCTGTATCCCGCCCAAGTCTGTGGAATCGTGACCGAATCGGAAACGGTAAAAAGACTGAGGATAGCCGTGCACCCAGACTTCAGCTTCAAAGCAGGACAGTGGTGAGAACGCACTCTGTTTACACCTCTATATAAGCAATGAAGATCTTCACTGATTTATGGACTCAGTTAATTGTTAATCTTGTTGAATTTGCGTGTTTCCAAAATACAGAAATCATTTTAAAAATACAAATCTGTTCGCTCATATTTTATCAACCACAGCGTTCTGTAAATCTTTTTTTTTTTTTAATTCTTTAAATCTGCAGTACTCGGAGCCACCACCTGGTGGCAGCATTCAGTCAAATTCAGCCACTTGAGATTCAAGCTTTAAATATTGACAGAACTTTACAGATTATGCAGATATATGAAAGATATCCATTTAGGAACATTGGACATTTTAGACTCAACGTGATGAAAATAGGTTCTCTGATGAAAGCAGGCCTTTTTTTTTTTCTTTTGGTTGGACAGCGCACACGGTGTTGGTGGCTGCTAGGTAACCAGTCATCCTGCTTTAACTGGCTGTAAATATGTAGTTTTTGTAAAGAGGACATGACTTCCTTACTACAACAGACCCTTCATGTGTGGCTCCTTTATCTTTCTCTAACGAAACAGTGGGTTATTGTGCTGCCGAAACATCAGTCCAGCTGTTTAACATTGGCTACACATGTGGCTGTGCTTTGTGGCAAACAAACGTGCTGCAGCTGGAACGAAGTTGCCAGCAGGCAGCTGCGCTTCTGGTTTGATTTCATTCTGTGGGTTTTCTGGAACGGGCCGCTCTTCTCGTCGAGGTCAGAGGACGACGCTCTACCTTCATTCAGCCTCTGACCCCGCAGCTCAGCACGTTTTCGCCACCTCAAGATTGACTTGAATTATCAGTTTTTACCGGCAGTTTGGGGTTTATGTTTTTGCATTGTGCTGTTTCCTGGTGCAGGGTGGATTTCTACATCCCTGGTGTGGAGAAGGTGGGAGGTTTCTCCATGTGCTCCAGCCCGGGTCTGTTGCAGAGGGAGGGTGTGGTCGAACTGGCTATCAAGTACGCGAAACATCCCCCAGCACACTGGGTCCACACTGTGGTGAGTGATGGGAGACGACTGAAAAGGAGGGAACAAAAAAAAAAGTGCTAAGAGGAGAGGCAGTGAGTGTTTATTTTTCCCCTCTGAATAAAATATGAATTTGTTTTTTAGTCGTTCTTTGAATCCATGTTATGTTCTCCTTCAGCTTTCACTTTCCCTTTGCAGATTCATGTGGGTTTAATGTAGTCTCGTGATAAAAACGGTCTTGTTATAGAAAGATCTGAGGAACAGCGGCGTTCATTTGAACGTTCAGAGACGTACATTTCTCTGGGATGATTTGATCCGTTTCTTTGATATCGTTCTCCAGGAACAGTTAGGCACTGTTTTCGTAGCTCGAGAAAGAATGTATTATCATTTAGACAAGAGCAGATGAAGAAAAAAAAACAAAAAAACACTAGAAGTAAGGAAACCCGCGCATTTTGTTGCGTTCTCTTTATTATTAAGTCCGTCTTCTTCCGTTTTTCTGAAACGGTTTTGTCGTCTGTTCTCTTCCGTCAGTGTACAGTAGGCTCCCGGGTGGCCATGCGTGTCGGCGGAGACTTCTACTTCGACCCGCTGCCCTCGGGTCCAGCTGTGGATTTGCTGCTGGTTGCCGGCGGCGTCGGGATCAATCCGCTGTACTCTATTCTGCTGCACACCTCGGATCTGCTGCGCCTCAACCAGTCCTCTGCTGGTCGGCGCTTCAACATCGGTTCTGCCCACCTCTGCTACAGCGCCAAGAACACCGAGGAGCTCCTCTTCAAGGTAACTGCTCCTCACTTAGAGTGAGAATGCTTGGAAGAATTTCTGTTGCAGTTGCAAACATTAATGTGTGTCACATTAAGGTTTCCGATTAATCGGTCGATTAATCTTTGTAGCAAAGGATGCATCTGCAGCTAAAAGAAAAAATAATATTTCTGGCATCAACATGTGAAAAGCTCACTTGTTTCTGGTTGACTTAACATAAATAAAGTGAAGGGCTGGTCCGATGATTATTTTTTGGATTAACAGATTATTAATTAATTAATTGTTTCAGCCCTAAATGTGACAAAATCTGAAATGGTTCAATAACCATCAGTCTGTCACAGCCTGACTTGTTTTTTGTTGTTGTTTTTTTTCTTATTCTTTTTTGCAGAGCTCCATCATTGAGAAATGTGGGGAGTTTCCCAACAACTTCACCTGCAACTTTCACGTCACGCAACAGAGGGCAGGAGTCGAGCCGCACCTTCAGCCATTCGTCAAAAGTAATCTGCGCACAGAACCGTTTCCTCGTTTAGCCGGGGATGATTGATTGACTGTCGCATTCCTCCGCAGTCTGCTTTTCTTTTGATTTATCTGTTTCATCACGTGAAGCCGGCTTCTATCAAAGCCGCGCGCGCACCACGAGCCTCGACGTCTTAATTAATGCCTCTGCTCCCCCGTGTCTCCTCAGGTGGGCGAATCACAGCGGAGGAGTTGCAGGCGAACGTGGACCCACAAAGGACTTTGTGTTACTTATGCGGACCGCCGCCAATGATAGAGGCGGTTTCAAAAACCCTCATGGACCTCGGGCTCCCAAAGGACAGGATCCTGTTTGAGAAGTGGTGGTAGGAGAAGTTGGAACGTTTGGTGGCCTTCAAAGGGAGGAAATGCCCCTCTACACATTCAAGGTCTATGACAGCATCCCTGAACTGCGAACTGAATCAAATATATATATATATATATATATATATATATATATATATATATATATATATATATATATATATATATATATATATATATATATGTTGTTGTTGTTTTTTTTTCCTGAATTACAGTCAGGAAAACATCTTTGACTTTAAATGTCAAGTTTCTGTACAGATTTCTAGCAAATACTAATTTAAGTTGAGAGTGAGATTTGTAAGATTTGCAACAAAATCCTTGCAAAGTTTAGTTTTGGGAATATGTTTCATACTGAAATATATTTTAAAGATGCACCGGTCACAGATTTGTGCCCAATTTCCTGTCTTTGATGTGTTGACGCTGTTTTCAACCAATTCCAATTTCTGCTAAAGAGATGTTAAGAGCTCACAACATTTCTTTATAGCCTTACAGCTGTGTGCAGTCGTCCATCAGTGTAACATTGCATGTAGATCTTATATTTGATGCCAAATAAAACAGCAGCTTTCCTGTTGTGTGCTGGAATCTGCTCTAGGTCAATTTGAAAATAATCCAACTTGTATAAATTGAATTGCGGGATTTTCAGAATTCGCCACCGTTCCCTTTCACTTTGGCTTCACACTTATTGAAGCCATTTATTGAAACCTGAAAACAAAGCAGGTGAAATCGAAACTTTGTGTTTATGTGCCAAAAAGAATAACTTCATTTGCAAAAGTAAAAAAAAAAAAAAAAATTCTGATGAGCTTGTTTTTGTAATTACACCTCACTTTCTTTCCCAACATCAAGTGAAAACTTGACAATCTCTCACATGCTTGGCCACCACTGTACTGTTTTCCTCTCTCACACACACACACACACACCCTCCCACGGTGCTCATCATCTGAGCAGTCTCTTTTCTCACACATCTTCCACATCAGCAAACAGTTTTCCATCCCAGGGCAGGTTAGGCGTCCCGCGGCGCTCTGTAATGGAACCTCCAGGTGGTCTCTGATTGGCACGGATCACCGAGCGTCCCTCAGAGACGGCGACGAGCTTCTCGCTGCCGTTTCTCAGCGAAGGGTTGTAATGTTCCCCCGTTCGTGGCGATAACGTGGAAGTGAAATGGAGGAAAGAGGGAAAAAAAAAAAGAAAAAGAGCTAACTTTGAGGCAGTCTGGGCTTCAAACACTTTATTGAGCTTCTTGTTAAACCGAGACCCAATTGTTACACCACTCACGCACTTCCACAGGTAGTCCAGGAAACAAATAAAGAGCTCGTTTCTAAATAACACATTCTTGGGTCATTTATTGCAAATAAAACTTTTCTATTGCCTTCAGCTTTCGAGAAAAACAGCAAACCACACAAAAGGTTGTACCTATTAAAATACTCACTACAAGAATTACGTTCATGTTTGAAAATTGTATTCCTCTTGGCATATTATCACTTAGTTTTTTTTTTTTTTGGAGTTGGATAATGCATATGCTGGTAATTGGTCTAAATTTAGAGTTTAGAGTTGGATTGATTCTTCCACTTGATGAAAGGCAGCACTTTTCCACATTGTAGAACTGAATCTACAACTAAACTGATCTTATTCATCTCACTTCCCATAAGTATGACTGAAATATTCATTATAAATCCATGCCCGATGAGCTCTTGTCCATCTGAAATATCAAATGGACAAAGAATGAATTTGATTCGTTCCAAACCTTTCCTTTTTAGTTTAGCTGCCTCTACTGTTTACTTCAGCGATGACTAATCTAAAGACTAGTTTGGCCAGTTTTTGAAGTAAGAGGTTTCCTTTTTGCTTTTGATTTGACAGGGACGGGTCTGGTCTACTTCCTGGACTTTGTTTTTAACCTGACCCAATGTTGCAGTGCTTTCTCATTTCCCTGCCATAAAAAGATCATCTACCTCTGCTGTCTTGTGATTTTATTGCTCTCTTACAGAAAGGTTTGTTTGATCTTTGCAGTGATGATATTGTACCGTTACTGAGAGCCTCTGTAAACAGGCTGTGAATTTGCTGCTGCAGATTTCAAATACGCCTTGGAACTTGGATTACTTGCTTTCCTAGTCAACACATCTATTGAAGCATCTTTTCAATAGATGTCTGTAAAACTCTGATTTGGAACTTATGCATATTTTGTCGTGCAACAGAAACTTCAATGCATTTTGTTACCATTTTATGACAGACGAACACAGGAAATAGTGAGTAATGTCAAGTGGAAGGAAAATAAACTTGTGCAATAATCTAAAAAGTGTGGTGGGAATTTTGGATTTCTTTACTCTTTTGCACTTCAATTAAAATCCAGTGTAACCAAGTTATTTCATATTGGTAAACAGCTTCCACTTGTGTGTAACTTAATGTCAGAATAAATTCACCTGTTGTGAAGACTGTAGGGGAAGTGGAGCAAAAATAAAGCCATTGTTAAAACAAACTCATAAGAAGTTTGGCTTGTGTAAAACTGTGGAAGATGTTTGGAGCGCCAAAATAAACATTTTTGGACTTGCATTCAAAATGCAAACTAACCCTTCATAATGCACTGGACACACACCGTGGCAAAACATAGTAAAGACAGCATTTCAGTCTTTAGATGTGTAAAGTTGGTAGCTATATGCCCCCATCAGTCCTCCCACTTTATGTGCAGTGAAAGGTCATTCTACATAGTATTAAGCAGAAAAGCTGAAAACAAATGCACGGTGCACTTTTTTTTTTTTAGTGTTTAACAGTTTTGGAAACCAAGTCACATTTTCTTTCCACTTAACAGTGGCACGCAGCTTTGTGACTGTTACTGATGAAAATATAATAAATCCAAGTTTAAGGTTGTAAAAAAAAAAACATGACAAACGCTCAAAGAGCGACGATACGTTTGCAAGACACTTTGTGTATTTTACATTTATTTATACTGTGAGTAAACTTCAAACTCCTAGTCCAAAAAAACCTTAACCTTTCACCGCGTAAGACGTTTACAACCTGGACTACAACTAAGAAACTCACTCTTTATGTACAAAACAATATGTCCTCATAGCAGCTTTAGAAACAGTTAGTGAAACGGGGGCAAAGGTCACCTTCAGGAGTTACTCATGGGGGTCATTTCGGCCCATTGCCATTTTGTGGTTTGGATCTTTTTGTCCCTAACTGTGTTGCTGCTGGTTGATTTTTATTATTTTTTTTTATTTATTTATTTTTTTATTATCAACCACAAGTCAAGCTAATAAATAATATATTTCTATAGAAAATAATTTATAAATAAACTAGTTTCTATGAGAAATTTAAGGGTTTTGTGATTTGATTATTTGTCTCCATAATTCATCAAAATATTTAAATACCAGAAGAAGAAACTGCTATGGATTTGACTGAGGACACAGATACTAGCTGGTTGGTTTACAGGTGTGAAATGGTCGGCAATAGGGCAAATTGATGTCACATTAGCCTGAAATAGATAGCAAACGTAAAAAAATAAAAATAAAAATCTCCAAACATACGTCCTACTTAAGGCATTGGCAGGAGAAGCTGTGCAGCACTGTACATTACAAAAACAGTCAACAAAACAAAGCAGGGAACCCTACAGCGCAACTTTACCAAATGAACACTAAAGTGAATGCACCAAAGTCCTGAAACCATAAGAAATGACAGATTTCTTATGGTTTCACTTTCTTGGAGAACTTCCAAGTGGACAAATACTTTTTCGCAGCACTGTATATGCTTTGCTCCAGATTAGTTCTTCCACAGGAATTCAAGCTGAATGTTAAAAAAGCTTTCCCTTCCAGTCAACAAACTCCGGAGAACAGCTGCTGTTTGATGCGCTCCTCCACCCTGACCTTTTCCTTCATCCCCCTCTCGTCGCCCGGACCGAAATCCGTCCACCTCACCGCCTTCTCCTGCCTGGACAGCGGGACGGCGTCGACGTCAGTTTCCTCCTCTTGATATTCGACAGAAGCCCTGCGCTCCAGCAGCAGGGAGACGGCCTTTTGATGCTGCGCCTCGTCTCCGCTCTTCTGAAGGCCCGCTCTTTGGCTCCTTCCGCTGTCCCCTCTCTTCCTCCCCTCCGCCTCTGCCTCCTCCTCCTCCTCTTCGTTGATCCTCAGCCTGTCCATCTCAGTCTCTATCACCAGGGACTTGTTCTCTTGCTCGTCTAGCGCTTCCCCGGCTGAGTGTTTCTTTGCCTTGCTGCGACCTCTGAGGTTCAGCATCTGAAATCAAACGGACGTGTTTTGAGATGGTTTCCTGCTTTGTGCCACGTCTTTTCTTTCGCTTCCCCCTCCCCCCAGACGCCTGACAAACCACAACAAAGCCTTGTTCACTGATGCCTCTTTCCTGTACAGTTTGAGGCCAACTACCTGCCTATTATTAGACGTTTTCTAAGTGGGTTTTACAGTCGCTGTACATCCCATATTTAGAAACATACCTTCTTTTTTTTCTTTTTTTTATTTTACACTACCTCCTGTGACAAAGTCACTCACCGTCAAGGCGCAACAGAGACAAGTGACAGATTTGTTGCAAAGACTGAGGACGAACCTTGAAGTCTTTTCTCCTGCGTTGCAAAATGGGTCTCTGAAGGAAAAGGATTTGCTTAGTCGACAAACTTCCATCACTGCGAAAAGAGAAGAGGAGGCCTTTTAATGAACGTCACCCACCGTATTATAATTCAGGGAGCTTGCATTAGCGCGGCGTGTGCTGAAATCCAGGCTCTGCTGCCTGCGGTTTCTCAAGTGACAGGTTAAAAAACAAAAGCGGTTCAGCGATGCCTTTTTTTCTTTTGTTGTTTTCTTCTTTTGCTTGTTTGTTCGCAGAGGCAACAGATTTCAAAAGCTTTTTCATGTCGAGACGAGCATATGATCAGGATTCGTCAGATCTGGAGCCATCTGTCCTTCATATCCGACTTCCAGCGTCAGTCCTGCTCCCAAAAGGAACGGGACCGACAAGGCGCTCGGCGAGAAGAATCAACAATCGAGCAAAGCCGTAATTAGACCCGGCTAAGTTTAGGAGACATTTGTCAGCGGGATGAAAGGGTGAATATTTTAAACGAATCAAGTGTTGTCTTTACTTAGAATTTCAGAGGGCTTTGGTACCTGTTTGTTCTGACAATGGGTGTTGGCAGCACACACATCAGTCTCCATCCATATGGAGCCAAGGACTGGAGCAGCGGGATGTAATCAGTCTTCACCACAACACCCTGGAAAGGGAAAAAAAAATAATTCAAATGTGTACAAGATGTAAATACTCACATTACATTACCCGTTGGACTCCATGATTTGAGATAAGAGCAATTAAATATAATTGTGCACCGATTGCAGTTTTCTGGCCGATCGCTAATTTTTAAAAGGACCAAACCTTGCTAATTTCGATATTGGCCGATATTTTTTATTTTTTTTTTGTCTGAAAAGTTGCTAAATAAAGTCGCTAAGTTGGCAGCAGTGGGGTGACGACTGTTAACCGCAGACGTAACATGGTGGGCGGGTCTGTCAGACAGCTCTTTCCATGACTGGTTTGCAGACTATGGCAGAGATAGATTAGATCTGAGGACAATATTGATTTGTCATGCATGTGTTGTCTGATTGCCAGTCTCCCAACATTAAGAAAATCAGGTCCTACTTATCGGTGCAGCCCTAAGTAAGTATCCACAAGGAGCTAAGCCAGAGGGGAGGAAGTGGCTGCAGAAAGTGGGTAAAGGACATCTATCCAAACACTATGCAGCTGAGCCAGTATTTATACTTCTTACCACATTCAGGTTGAGAAATGTCAGGTCAGACTCAAAACTGTGCGCCCAATTTTTGTCATTTCAAAATGATGATTTTAAAGTTCTGACCAGAACTATCCAATGCGCATTAAAAGGGGGAGATTAGATTCATGAATCAAGGGCGCTCTTCAGGATGCTTTTTTTTTTTTTGTCCTTCTCATCTTCTCGGAACATAGGAAAACTTTGCCTCCCGAGTCGAAACGGCAGAGGAACGACATTGAAAGCTCACGTCTATAACAGTCCACTGCTCAACCACGATGGCGTCATAGGAGGTGTCTGTGGTCTCCTCCGCAGAGCTCTGGAAGATGAAAACGCTATCCACAGATGAAACGCCACTGTCTGGAAACAAGCAGAGTCACAGACAAACACAGGCACATGTAAGTGATTCAGACCTCCTCTCCATTGTCTCGCTCTTCATCCACGTCCAGTTTAGGTCGAACCCGCTTCACTCGTGTGCAGCTGAGCAGCGGCTTGTGAGACGAGTCGTGGACTTTGAGGTGACGACCCCTCATGCGTGTCATTCATCATGCAGCAGCGGTCTTAAGAGTCTAAGAAGATTTTCTCATCTCGTCAGACTTTCAAATTCTCGGGTTAGACTTAGATGGTGTGGGATTTCTATTTTAGAACAAAAACCTTAAACATACAGCCAGGTGGTCTGTGCTAGAACGTCCCTGGGAATTTTTAGCAAGATCTAAAAGTTGACTTGTGCCAAGTAATCTGATTGAGCACGAGTTATTTTGTCAAACAGGAATGGCTACAGAAAGTCGGTTTCTAGATGTGCAAACCAAAAATAATCTTGCGGCTGTATTTACAGTGAAAGGTGGTTCTACAAAGTGTAAACTGAACTTCTGCACTTTCTGAATACAAGTGTACGCAACGTATTTCAGATGTCATTGTCCTTCCATTTCCAGTTGGTTCGCCAAATTGTGTTGGTCGGTCAGTCCTTATAGATTTGTTGTTGTTAAATGACAAAAAAGAACATTTCAAGGGGTACAAACACTTCAGCAAAGTGCAAGGAGATGCAAAAATGTCCTAGCATAAAACAAGCCGTGGTTTCTGTGGCCGACTTTGCTTGGCCTCCGACTTAACAATGTTTCAAAAGCATAATTACTGCGGAGGACAAACCATGGTCGTCTGTGAGGTGGAAAAACCCATCGATGAGCTGCGCCCCACTGCTAAAGTGCTGAGTCATGTGGTCGAGCCAGTTTGCATCAACATCTGTGATCGCCTCCGCCTCCTTTTGAACATGAAGAGGCACCCGGAGAGAGTAGAACCTCAGGGACGTGTCGGGCTCTTCTGTGTGGTTGTACAGTGCAAACAGCTGCATCCCTGCCAGACGCACAGACAAATAATCAGCAAAAATGAAGTGGAGAGTGAGCCCTGATGATGGGGCCTGTCGAATTGGGGAACAAAATAACAACCTTCTGCTTACTTACTAGCCTGTGCCGGCGGTGAGCCTGAACCTGTGTCATTCTCCGAATTCTTCAGCCTGATGTGGTTGTTGTTCTGTGTTGTCACGCGTCTTTGCCCATCTGTCTGCGTTGAGTCAGATCTTCTTCTGTCATGGTCACGATCCAGCTCTGGAGAGCTGAGCCAGCTGTCTGGGCTGGAAACTCTCCTTTCTCTCTGTTTGGAGACATTAAGATGTTTCTCTGTGGATGCAGTGAAGTGCTGTTTAGTCTCTTGTGATCTACACTCTGGCAGCCTCGTTGTGACTGCTGTTTCTGGTAGGCTCAGACCGGACCGTTTGCCCTGGACTTCTGCCACATTGTGAGCTTCGGGTTTGATGTGATTATGAGGCTTATTGAAGTCCTTGGCACCAATCTGTGAGGTTATTATTTGATCACAAAGCTCCTCTGGGTTATGAAGAGAGTTTACCGGGTGCTTCAGGAGGCTGAAGTTTGGTTTTCTGGACGCTGAGGAGTTTTGATCCTGTTTGACGCTCTCCATAGCCCCATAATCCGACTCTTGCGATTCGCAGCAGCAGAGATCAGCATCTTCACCATTCGGGTTTGGCTCCGTTGGGCTCGTATCGGTGCTGAAAGGCTGCTGGTGTATTGGCGACGGGCTCGAATGCAAGGACGACAGCTCCTCTGGGTCCCAGTGTCCCAAAAAATACGGCCCTCCGCCTGGCTGTTGGAGAAAACCCACGAACATCACCCCTTGCTCCGCCACATCCTGGATCTGTAAAGCATACACACACATAATCAATAGACTATCTGGTATATGGAAATGTTACCGGTATTTCCCTTTCATCAAAGGAGTTCCTCAGGATTTCATAATGGGACACTTAAATCCTGGTCTACAAAACACAATATTTATGGTAATTTATCAGATATCTAATTTCATTTTTCCTCAAATGACTCAGTTATTTATTGTTGAAGGCAGCAATGGCTGACTCTTCCTTTATTTGTGATGGTTCATAAACGACAAATCTGTCAAGACTCCAGAATCAGCCAAATTTAATGGTGAACAGATGAGTTCTTAACAAAAATAAAAAAATCACAGATTAAACGACAAACAACATACATTTTTTATAGAGCTTTTATTTAGTCAGTTATTTTATTCAGGTTAATTTAGCACAATTTAATACAACTGTAATTGGCTTTACATGCACAATATTCTCAAATAGCAAAGAACATCCTGAGAACTTTTCAATGGGCCCTGACCTGAAAAGTGTTACTGATCAGAAGTAGTCATTGAATGCATCTGGGAAGTATCCAAAGTTGTTGGATACGGTCTACCATTGTGCTAATACACATCTGCTAACACGCTAACAGTCAAGCAAGTCTTTAATTTAGCACATGGAAAATATTTAGCTCACTTTGCCTCCACTAAATAATTGTTTCCGGATAAATTCAAAATTTTCAGTTGAATAAAATTTCAATAAAATTCAGCGTTGAAGTTAAGAATTCAATTAGACATTTATGTTCACACTCTCATTTTGAAGTTAGGTGAAAGCTGTTTACGCAGCAGTTCCGTTTCCCTCACGTTTCCCGGCCATGCCGTGATGCGGTACAGCAAATGTTCTGTACCCAGAATGCAACAGTTTAAATTCAACTGATGTCAAGCATATTTTGACCACGGTAGAATGAAGCTCTAACGTGGTCAATAAGGGAAAAACCAGCCACCGAATTAAAAAATAATTAGAAAAAAAACAGCTGTTGAAATATGAAGCCATTTTATTTCCTGTAATAATAATTGAACTGTCAGAACTGGTTACACTGGGATAGTTAAGTCCATTATGAAACAAGATATGGCAGTTTTTGGTGACCAGCAACGCCAATCCCTCTTGCTGTATTTAGATGACATTGTTGTGTTTTCATCCTCTGCGCAGCAACATCTTGAGAGGTTGGATGTGGTCTTAGGACGGCTTCAGAAGGACGGCCTTACAGCTGAGCTAAGTAAGTGCCACTTTTTCCAGCAGGAGGTGCACTACCTGGGCCATGTAATTTCTGACCAGGGAGTAGCCACTGACCCCGCTAAAATTGAGGTGGTAGCAAAGAGAAGCGTTTGCCTGTTCATTGATTGCTCTGCTTTTATTTGGATAATGTTTGGCTGTTCACTTGCTTATAGTGAATATTCATTGTTTTTTTTTTTTTTTTTTTTTTTTTGTTTTGTTTTGTTTTTCTGTGTGTGAAAGGGCATTTTTTTCCACAGCGGCACAAATGAACTTGCTGCGTCGGCTCCTTTTATTCCGACGAACAAAGCCTAATTTACACACAAACAAAGGCTGACAGACGCAAGGTGGGTATTCTTCATAATAACAGCCCACCTAATCAACTGGAAAGATCAAATATTCAAATGACAAAAGGACCTCATTATCTGTACACATTCATGTGGCACGTGTGTTTGCTGTCCCACCCCCCTACCCACCCCCCCGCCCTCCAACCAAGCTGGAGCGGTTAATTGTCAGTTGATATTTGGGCTGACAGTTTCAGGCGGACTCAACAGGGGAGGGAAAATCAGATTTCCAGAACTACCGCCGAACAATAATGAGGCACATCTTCCCCTATCACCCACTCTTTTTGACATTTCACTCATCCGTGCACGCAGGTTGCAACTCTGAACTGGTTTCTCCAGCACCCACGGACACAATTTACAGAGATCAGCTCTAGTTTATCTGATCATTACGTCCAGAGGGATGCTAAGAGTGGGCAGGGCCGGTTTAGTACTGGACAAACAGAAGTATAGGATTTCAAAACACCCACACACACAAAAAAAAAAAAAAACATGTACCCTCTTCTCTGTGTCTGCATCTGCTTTGGTTCTTATCACAAACTCTCACTGGCAGCTTGCGATCTGATTGGTTATTCATGTCACGCTGCCAGAGCCTATCACATTATGCTCAGTGATGTGCATTTCCATCCAATCAGGTTTTCCTTTGTGCTCGCTGGGTGTTCAGATGCAAATCTATTCAACAGAGCACATTTTCATTTCCCAATGTAGGACTGCTGGCAAATTCATGAGTGGAGACGCAGAGGAAGTTTAACAGCAGACACGGGACTGTGCAAAAGTGTTGAGCTACACCTACTTCCTTTACATGTTTGCACCAAAGACTCTGACTTGTGTTTGTTTATGGTGTCTTAAAAAGTATTTCTTCATGCTTTGGTAGATTTTTAACTTGTTTATTTTTTAATATCCCTTCACAATAGCCTGCCTCACAGCTAAAAGTTCAGAATGAACTTTTCATACATCTGATACTTTTATCATACATAATTAGATCTCCATCTTAGACAGACTGTATTGGACACACACACAAAAAAAAACATCAGCAAAAGCACCACGACTCAGACACTCTGTATGCCACACACAGGAACACAAATGTCACAAATTTATAACAATAATAACCTCATGCTACCCTATGCAGAGCTCGGTCTGTGCTGATAAAGACACATTCACATCCACACACTGAATGCCAGGAGGAGTCGCCAAGGCAAGGACACCAACTTTTTCTTGTTTAATTTAATTGTATAATATTTATTTAAACCACAAGGGGGCACTCAGACTGTTTAAAGATCAACAAACTCTCAGCCCAAGCTGGTCAAATCATCATGAGTTATAAAAACAAAGGAAGGTTGTAACGGTGTGACAGAGAGTAACACTTTCTCTAACTTTTTTAAACATCATAATTACACATCAAACAAGTTTTTAGATATGCCACCAATAAAACAGAAATAATGCAAATGTATTTTTTTTTTTTACACTAAAGTTTCATGAAAAAAAAACCTGAGAGCCCATGAACTACTAAGTTCTTTATTGAGAAATTTTCATGTACTGATAGATGATATCTTAAATAAAATATATCAGGTGAGGAATAAGTTATGAAACTCCTTTTGAGGCTCATTAAACTCGCCAACTCTGACTAAAACAACCTCAGGGTGAGTTCTTGTCGTCACCTACCAATCTCTGAGGATTATTGGGAGTGGAGGGGAAAAGTTATCCTCCAGTCCTCGTTGCCGATACAATCCCTGACCCCCACTAAAAATAAAACTTTTTGCAAACCCTGCAAATAGCTCCTTGATAATCAACTTGGTGCAGAAAGAAAATCTCTCATATGCTTTTTGTCCTTTTTTTAAATATAAAAAAAAAACTAATCGAGTCTTTAGATAAGGGTTCCTTGAAACAAATTTACCTAAAAGTGCATTTTGAAATCTATTCTTTATATCAATTGTGTGGTGACAAAAAAAAAGTACATGTGCTCAAGAAGAGGCTTTTTTTATGCTTAAACGAAGTAAAGGCCAGTGTTGAGTGGCTTACATGTACCAAAAGCAAAACTAAAAATGTCCTGGTAAAAGGATTGGAAAACAATGTCTCAAAAACCTTGAACATTATCATTATAAAAAAAAAAAAAAAAAAGTCCATCTCTTTGGAAGCTAAATTTAAAGAAATTAGTTATGACTCAAGGCAGTGTCAAAACTTTATTTGCTCCAATAATGACGCTTTACCTACCATGGTGTTTTATCTCCCTTTTCAAGTAGTCCAACCATTTATTTATTTATTTACCAGCTTCAACACACTGAAGACAGTCCAGAGTTATGCAATTCTGTTCTTGCTCAGTTTCTTTTATGTTTATATATTTTATTTAAACCATAAAAAGGCAGATTTTTGTTTTTTTTTTCCCCCCCAGACATAAAAACATCAATATGTGAGAATTTCTTAATGAGGAACTATTTACTTTAGCCAAGACGCAACTGTCTTGTTTAACTTTCTATTTTCTCTCATATACTCAGGAATCTTGAGACCACGTGGTGATGAAAGTTCGTTGCGCTATGATTTTTACTTGACCTAAATTTTCCAAAGAATTATCAGATGAATTAATTAGACATGAGGTCAGGCTGTCATCAACTCGAGCCACTCCAGGCATTCGGCATCCAGAGGTTAGCAAGTCATTGAAATTCCATTAACAAGTTGCATTTCAATAGCACTTCCACAGACCTGATAGCAGCGGCACATACAGCTCTGGGAAAAATTAAGAGACCATTTAAAATGATTAGTTTCTCTGATATTACTTTTTCATAGGTATGTGCTTGATTAAAATGAACATTATTCTATGAATTAACAACATGTCTCTGGAATTCCAAGCAAAAGTTTAGTGTAGAAAAGGAGAAATGGTCAAAATAACGAATAAGATGCAGAGCTTTCAGAGCTCATCTAATGCAAAGAAAACAAGTTCATACTCATTTAGAAACAACAATACTAATGTTTTAACTCAGGAAGAGTTCAGAAATCAATCTTGGGTGGAATAACCATATACTATTCGATATAGCTTGAAGTTTCAGACATGATTTTATCACTATCATAACACAGGAAAACAACGTAAAACCGAATGAATCATCTTTGGACTGACCTTCTTAACATAGTTCTGGATGGCTTCCAGGTCAGCAGCCTGTTGACTGGCCACGCAGACCTCCGTCTCCAGACGGTTTCTCGCCCACCTCAGCTGGCTTTTCTCTGGACTGGGAGGCGAGACATGAAAAGAAGACGGTCGTATGTCATTTAGCTCAGGTCAAATACTGTCTTATTTACCCGAAAATGTCAAGATACACCAGACCAAAAAGTGCCTTAGCATCATTTTCCTCTCTTCCTGTAGTAGTTACTGCACATCACCCAGTAACATTACACTCATATGGGAGGGGGTGTTGGCTCTAGAGATTCTGGAAGGTGTGCTCATGTTCTCAAGCACTTGTTGACCCAGAATGATCACAGCCGAAACGTAATGTCAAATCTGATGGAAGGGGAATTTTCCATTTAAGGGGAGCACCCATTTACCACGGGCACAGAAACCTTATTAGACAGAAAAAAAGAACCAAATTTCCTTTTTGCTCCCACTGCAAGGCACCATCATGAAAGGCGCATTCAGATATGCCTCTTCAGATTTGGATTGAGGTCAGTGGGAAGGCCGTAGTAATATCTCGTGCTCTGAGGCGTGAGTGACATTCTCAGCTAGATTTGAAACAGTAGAGCTATCTTTTTTTTTTTCCCCCTCTTTCATTTTTATGGTTTTGATGAAAGGGATTGTGATGACGGGGAGATAAAAGGCAGCGTAAAGGGGA